ATAAGATTTGAAGGCTAGCTTCTGTGCAAGGTAAGCAACCTTGAAAATGGCCCTTGATGAAAATATATTTTATTAATGACTTGGTCATAAAACTCATCTCATTGATTATACCCTGATTAAGAAAGCAATGTACAGGGCTGGAGCAGTGGTTCAGCAGTTAAGAGCACTGGCTACTCTTCCAGAGGAGCTGAGTTTATTCTTACCACTTACGTGGTATAGTAAAACCATCTGTGACTCCAGTGCCTTTCGGGCCTCCACTCATGTTGTACCCTTTGGTGCACAGATATTAAGCAGAAAATAACAAAAATTTGTTTAAAAGGAATATATATATATAATATATATATTTCTTATAAGAGATACTAAATTTCTGAGGAAAAGTCATTACTGGGAACACTTCAGTCTTACCAAATTGAATAAATGGAGCATTAAAATTTTATAATATTGAGATCTTTATGGTTGGTATTGAACTTTATGGTGATTAAGATAGTTTTTACTCTATTTTTTTCCTATTTATGGCCCTCACTGGGGCCAAACGTGTGTGTGTGTGTGTGTGTGTGTGTGTGTGTGTGTGTGTGTGTATGTATGTATGTATGTTTAGAGTCTGCAGCAAATCTTTTGCTAATTTACATCATTATCTTGTTGCTAGACTTAGGTATTTTTTTTAAAAAAATCTGTTATGTATTCTGTGCACAGGTACTGGTATACATTAAATGACCCTTCAATAGCTTATACAGCATTAAACTTACTGGAGTAATAAATTAATAGCCTACTATTGATATTCCATTCAGTCTTCTATTATTCCTAGTAGTGTTAATCATTTTTTTCTTTCTGGTGAATAGATAGTGAATGCTTTTAAGCAATATTCTGAAAAGTCTTTGATAACCAATTTCTTTTTAATTTGCTCTATTTTTATGACTCAAAAAAAACCCAATTAAGAAATATTAAATTTATAGTTGTAAAGTAAGCCAAATAGGAAATTATTATTAAAGATACCTTGAAAACCGGATGGAAGTATTTTACAAAATACCTTCTGAGAATTCCATACATGCAATATGAAGTATTTTGATTATATTCACCAATATCTCTTTCCCTAACTCTTCTCAGGTCCATCCTAACACCCATACTAACTTCATGCCCTTTCCAAAAATAGCCCAATGAGTCCAATTGGTACTGTCCATAAACCCTTGGGTGTGAGGGCTAAGCTTAAATGAGCTTTCCCTCACCTACCAACCTTCATATGTCAAAAGCTCCTTAGTTAGGATGAGAGCCTATGTCATGCTGAAATGGTTGACTGGCTTCATCTTATGTAGACAACCACATAAATGCTGTGAGCTCGTGATCCTGTCATGTCCAACAGACAGTTTTGTCCCAGTCCTCCTTAGCCTCTGGCTCTTTCAGTCTTTACACACACACACAAACACACTTCCACAATGTTTCCTGAGCCTTTAGGAAAGGGGGTTGTAATACTGAAGTTTCGTTTGTGGCTGAGTCCTCCACAATGTTGAACTTTGAAACTCTCAAACTTCTAGAGGAAAGAGTAGGAATATTGGGAAGTTTGGGGTATGTGTGACCTTGAGATCACTTGCCTATCCTGCAAAGGACTCTATGTATAATCCCCAGAAACCTCCCCCCCCCCCCGAAAGGTTGGGGGTGGGGAATCAAAATCAAGCACCTTTTTGAGACAGGGTTTCTCTGTGTAGCCCTGGCTGTATTGGAACTCACTGTGTAGACCAGGATGGGCTTGAACTCAGAGTTCCACCTGCCTCTGATTCAGAGTGCTGGTATCAAAAGTGAGCACTCCCACCACCTGGCTAAAGCACTTATTTTAATATAACAATTGGCTGGATTTACACCAATGATAGAGCAGTCTAATGAACTGAGAATATAATTTTTTTTCTTTAAAAAGACTATGTGAAAGACATTCCAGACACAAAACATGGGTCAATAGAACATTTATGGTCTATATAGTATCTCTAGGGCAAGGCTTTCAGAAATAAAAAGAACGTAATAGAATTTTCCCAAGTAAAAAGGAACCTTTCCTATGGGTGAGAATTCCATTCCTAAAAGCTTTTTCTGGGCTTTATTTAAAAACAAATTTATTTATACTTATAAGTAAATATACAGTGTTCTGCCTGCATGTATGCCTGCAGGACGGAAGAGGGCACCAGATCTCATTACAGATAGTTGTGAATCACCATGTGGTACAGGGAATTGAAGTCAGGACCTCTGGAAGAACAGTCATTTCTCCAGCCCCCTGGGCTTTATTTTCTGAAGGAAAGTATTTGACTCTAATCTCTGGGCAGTATCTAGAGAGCTTTTCCTTTAGTTTTTCAATACAGCAGAACTTGATGTGTATAAAACAACTACAGTTATCTTTTCTAGGCCTTTATGGTCTTAAATGTCAAAGGAATAAAAATATGTGAACAGCCCCTTCTAATAGGAAATCTTCATTGAATGGCAGAAAGTTGGTATAATGTAGAGTCAGAAGACTTAGTTCTTCTACTTTTGAGCATTTGTACTTTAGTCTTTCTACCTTTGTTTCAATTTCTATAAATACCCAGAATATATAGATATTGTGGCACATGCTTGTCCCAGCACTTGGGAAGCTAAGGTAAGAGAAATGACGTGAGTTAAAGGCTGGCTTGGGCTCATGACTTGAAAGGCCAACCAGGATTATATAATAGCAAGATCCTGTTTAAAAAAACAAAAACACTAAAAACAAAATAACACTAAAGGCTTATACGATGATTTAAGAATGAAAGGTATAAAAAATATTCTAAAATACAGTATTTTTAGTTGGGAATTTTAAGGACATTTGAGATGGGAGTTGTGGTTGCTGATAGAAAAATTGTAGTTTTAGAAAAAGATGAACCATAACCCATTTTTTTTTGCTTCCAAAGGTCATTTCTTCATTTGATATGATGATATACTTTAGTTCTTTGTGCCTGCAAATTTCAAGACACCTTCATCTAAGTATCTTCAAGACTTCATGTCAACAAGCACCTGAACAGGTTCACAAGCATATTGACTGACTAGTAGCCCAAGGAAAAGAGGAGAAGCAGTTAGGGGAACCTATGTGTGAAGGAAACCCCCCTATGCAGGAGGCTAGTATATTATCTATAAGGTTATGTTAAATGTAAAAACTATCTTGTAGCTTCTATTATGTCTGTTAGTAACGAATCCCTCTTGTCATTAACATATTTTCTCACAGATGTCAGTATAATGTATGAATTAGAAACAAAAAGTTTGAATACTAAGAGTAAGAAGTTAAACCCCAATAATTCTAAATAACACTGTGTCTACAAAATAATACCTATCAGACTTGGGGTTTTACCAAAGAATTACACAACTATTCAGAACTTAAAAGAACTTCTAGCTGCCTTGGCAGTGATATCTGATTGATAAAACTTGTAAAGTGAGCTCAGAATACTAAGTATATAACGAGTGATACACTGAGAAATATTTCGCTATAATAGCCATTGTTCAAGAGATATGCTAATTATAGAAAGGTACACTTTAGTGTACTATCTAGAATTTAAAACAATGGTTATAGTAATTTTGTTGTAATTTGTACTTAAAAAGGAATCTGTTGTACCAATTCAGCATGATGTCAATCTTTGAGGGAGGGTAACCTTGTATACCTTATTAGTCCAAGTAAAAAAGTTTACTTCCATAAAAAAATTCTCCAAAGGAAGACAAAAAGTAGCTAAAATATTGACAGGAAAGGAAATTAGGAACTTAGAAAAAATAGTAAGAAACGGGGGGGGGGGGCCCCCAACAAGTGTCAGTTTCTCAACACTAAGTACATTAGGTACTGATAGTCTTTTATTCTCAGTTGAAATAATACTTATGCCATATGATGAAATAATCGGACAAATAAACATGTACTTTTAAGTATTCAAACAAGAAAAGAGGATTTTTTTAAAAGGACTTTTTAAGTGTATAGTTTTCAAAAGGTAAAAATATGTGAATACAGAGAAAACCCTCTGAGGTACTTACTTTGCCTAACTCCTGGTAAACTTCTGAAAGATCTTAAAAGTTTGAATGATACTTAAGGTTTATATTCCATGTTGTAGACATAGCCAAGTGGAAGAGTGAATGCTTATAATGGGTGAGGCCCTGGCTTGATCTACCAGCAACACCCCACCCAAAAGGATTTATAATTAGTTGAACTGTCCTTTTAATGTCTTTTTAATGCTAGAAGGATAATTTCTTCCTAGAAGATAGTATTGTATAGACTTGTTTAAAATCTTCAAAGGGTGAATTGTAGAACAAAATTCAATAGATTGTTCCTTTCCATCAGATGGGTATGTTTTGTTCTAAATGATTCATTGAAGGCAGTTTCAGCAAAACTAGTAAGTTTAACTGATTTCAAAGAAATGTTGAAGCTCAAATCTTAAATTTCTCTGTATAAATGCCTATTTTAAAAATTAAATACAGTTCAAGTTTGGGAATTAATGTGAAATCAAGTTTCAGTATATTTACTGATTGCTACAATGGAAAAGGCATCAAGGTAATTCCTATTTGAAGACAGATATATATCATAAATAACTTTAGCTGTGTTTGTGATTCTTAATCATTACTAAGGGCATGTGTCTTTAAGTACAGACCAGCCCAATTAAATGGTATCTTGATGACCTTGCAGAAATAAAATATTTATAAATCTAATGATTGAAACTAATGCTTATGTTTCAAGTGTATTAATGATTTTAGCGTTTTTTAATTTATTCCAAACCACACTAAAATTTCTCTTAATAAAATGTATAGCAGATTCTCTCTCTTTAAAGAATTGGTGATCTACTGTTTATAAAGATGAACACATAGAACAGATTCTGTGGTTTTTTTTTTCCTTAAAGGAGAACAGTGTAAGCCAGGAGTGGTAGCATGCATTTGTTTTTGCTACTTGGGAGGCTGAGGTATAAAAGATCACTTGCTCCCAAAAGTTTTAGACTAATCTGGGCAAAGAGGTACCTTGGGACTGTTAAGAGATACACGGAAACTGAAACTTAAATCATTTTTATTTACGAAAAAGTATAAAAAACAAACAATTCACTATTATAACAAAAGAGCTGAACGCTCACTACAATGAAACAGCTGCTACTTACACAGCTGTTTAGGTTTATTTAGAAGTTTTATTTAGAAGTTAACAGGAACAGAAGTCTTCCACTTAAACAAGCTATTGATTATGGATGGTTATAGTTTTAAACTATAATTTCTAAAGGTGTGCCTCATAGCTAATGTTTTAATTCTATCATATTACATAGGTTCAAGTTCTTTCTTCAAAGACTCATCAGAATAACATGGATTGAAGAGACTTTCGAACATTTGCCATCTCTTGTTGCTGCTGTTTCATGAAAGGAGATATGAAACATGTTTAATTTTTAGTTAAATGTTATAAAAGTTTCAGCAAATAAAACATTTCAGTGCCTCCATTAATCCCTATCTTTACAATTTAAAATAGGACTTACAGTTTCCATCATAACTTTTTTTTGTAACATAGCCATTTCTTTTTTAAGTTCACTTTGTGTGCCAGTAAACAGATTATCATTATTTTTCTCCACTTCATCCAAACTCTAAAACACAAAAAAAACCTCTGGTTATATAAACTGTAACTAAATCTTAATTATTCAAATGCTCATTATTTACCCCAACATTCTAAGTAATTCATATATACCAAATTCCCACTATAAACAAGTAAAATATATCACACATTAATCAATGCAATTATATGAGCGCAATAAGTACCATCTATCTTTGCCCAAAACAATAGTTTAAAGAAATATTAAGGTCAAGATGATGAAAAGAAAAATGGGGGCAGGAGCTAGCCAAGATGGGAGAATTGAGAATTTGAGGCTAGTTCTGGACAACATAAGATCCTATCTCAAAAGAAGAAAAAGAAATCCAGAAGTAGAAACAGTAGAAATTTTCAAAATGGTTTATCACTGTTTCTACTTTTTCTTAAAACAGCTGGGTATAATCTACTTATTGTGACTAAGAGTCAATGTGACTTGAATTCTACAAAAGAGAAAGAAATATCTGTAGCATGAAGTCATTTCTCAAGTTATAAAAATTAGATACTAAAAATTGTTACATTCACTCAGTGTATATGTTGTGCATGTCTCACACATACATGAGCCACTATATGTAGAGGACAACATGTGGGTATTGGGTTTTCTTCTGTCATGTGGGTCCTAGAGATTGAACTCTGCCCTAGTATTTTGTTTTTCTGGACTAGATCTCAATATATAGGCACGGCTCACCTCAAACTCCCTAATCCTGCCTCAGGCTCCCCTCTACTGGAATTAAGAGGGTGCTATAACAGCTAATGAAAAAGGTTAAAATTCTGAAATATTAATTTAATAGTTATTCTATTGCCTACTATGTAAAAAGTACTACGTTCTGTGGAGAAACTAAAAAAGTAACATGTTTGTTTCAATTAGAAAAATTATGGAAATGCAACTTCTGTAGCTATATAGTGGAACGCATGACTATTCCCGCTTAATTGACAAAAAGTACACTATTTCATTAACTAAAAGGGAACTTAAAACATTCTAGAGGAATAGTATAACTGAAGCAGGGAAAAAGTGTGGATTCAGAGAGCAATTATGTAGAGTTTGGAGTAACGGACATATATAGTCTGAAGCTTAAAAAGAATCATGCTGGGCAGAATGGTGCACACCTTTAATCCCAGAACTTGGGAAGTAAGGCAAGAGGATCTGAGTTTGAAGCCAGCATAGTCTACATAGCAAGTTCCAGGCTAGCCAGACTATACAGTGAGCCCTGTTCTCAAACACACAGAAAAAAAAAATACAGCAAAACAAAAACATGTTACCATGTATGACTCACCTTTATGAACTGGTCATGTAGCTGTTTGATTGCTTTCAGTCTCTGGTTCTGAACAATTCTAGACTGCTGAAAAATCTTCTGTTGTTGTCGAAAAAGGTTCTATAAACATTAAAATAAAATGCCTGTAATAATGATTTGGTAAAAGTGTTTTTGCTATTACAGGCTTTATGCATTCTAGGAAGACACCTAGCTCTGAGCTCTATTCCCAACCTTTTGTCAAAAAACAATTCATATTAAAGGCACTGCTTAAGCTTAATACCTTTAGTATTTTAACAACTATTATGACTAGGTTTAAGTACTTTTACCACTGACATGCACTGTAATAATCCTACAAGTCAATAAGGATAAACATTTCTGACAATATTTTGTGTCTGAGTGTATGGTTATTGGATCCCCTAAACTGGAGTTAGATGCAATTTTGAGCTGTCATCTGAGTGCAGATAATGAAACCCAGGTCATCTGCAAGAGCAGTAAGAACTCTTTACCTCTGAGCCATTGCTCCAGTACCAAATATTTCTTTGAGACTAGGTTTCACTATGTTTCACAGCCTGACTTAGAACTTGTGACTCTCCTACCCCAGCCTCCTAAGTAGCTGGATTATAGGAATATACCACCATAAAAAAAATGAATAGGAAATCTCAGTGTTCAAGGTTTTGAGACAGGGTTCAAGTTGACCTCAAATTTACCATGTAATCAAAAATGGCCCTCTGCCTCTATCTCTCGAATGCTGGGATTATAAACATGTTTTAGTGAGTAAGGTCATCAGAGTGGAAAGTAAAATCATACCTAGTTTAAGAAGTGCTGGGTAATCAAACACAAGGCTTTGTGCATGCTAGAGTCTACCAACTGATATACATCCCCAATCTTATTTAGTAATTTCAATGTCTTACACAGAAATCTGAATGTTGGACATTTAGTTCCTTAATCTATTGTCCACAAATGACTGTCTTCTAGCCTCTTTATTCACTTACATTCTTTTTTAAAAATATTTTTATTTAATTTCATGTGTTTTGTCCACATTCCTATCTGCATGAGGGTGTTAGATTGCCTGGAACTGGAGTTACAGACAGTTGTTAGCTGCCATGTGGGTGCTGGGAATGGAAGCCAGGTCCTCTGGAAGAGCAGCCGGTGCTCCTAACCACCGAGCTATCTTTCCAGCCCTCACATTCTTACATTCTAGATTTTGCCATGCATTCTATAATACAGGTTCTCTCATTCTTCCTTTTACTGTAATTCCCAGATTAAGTTGTATATTATTGCCTTCTTAGTCATCTACTTGGCTAAATCCCTAGCTTGTAAAATTCAACTCTAATTACTTTAGCATGATGGTACTACTTTTCACAATCTGATAACCTTACTAAATAAGAATCCAAATAGAACAGTTTTTCATCACCACATGTAACTATCATCCATCTATATAGATGTATTTACTTGTATCTATATTCTCTATTTCCTCTTATTTCTAAGGATGACCATACTCAGTCTGCCTATCTTTTCCATTCTCAGGAATTTAGCAATTTCCCCCTTTGTGTTACTATTAAATTTCTCTCTGTAGGCAGACCTGGTGGTACAGGCCTATAACCATAGCTTCTTTCAAGGCTAATAAGGCAGGAGGTCACAAGTTGAAGTCCTACATAGGCTATAGCACACAAAAGTAGTCTGGGTAACTGGGTGAGATTGTCTCAAAATGAATGATTAAAAAAGAGGGCTGAGAACATAGTGTAGTGGTAGACCAGTTTTAAAGGCCTAGGTTCAATCTGCAATAACAGAAATAATTAAATTTGTTCCTCTAGATTCCCATCAGCATATGATCATGCTGTTTCACTTAATATTAAAAAAAATGAAACAGCTGGTTATAAGTCATGGTTGTACACATCTTTAACCCCAATATTTGAGAGGGAGAGGCAGATAGAGCACTGAGTTAAAGGCCAGACCCCGTTTCAATAAAAAGGGAGTGGGGGTTGCCATCCATCACCAGTGGAAATAGAGAAATAATACAGCCTAGATATTCATAAACTGTATTTTTGCATGAGGGGTTATAGCTCTGTGATAGCATGTTTTTGTAGACCGCATGAAGCATCTAGATTCATTCCCCAGCATTTATGGGGAGAGAAAGTGGAGGAGGAGGACAGTGATTGGTTAGGAATGAGCACATGATCGAAACTAAATTAATGATGTTCCACTACATGAATTTTCTGCCAAAGATATTCAGAAAGATTGTTTCAGTCTATGTAGTCACTAAATTTGTAGTAAATCAGGGACTGGGAGAACATTATAGAAGTTCATGGAGACTTAGCAGCAGAGCCCAGATGACACTGTAATAAGCAACCCTTCCCTACCCTATTCAACTGTGTTGTCTAAAGCTAACTTACTCCCCAAACCCAGTAGTTCTTTTATCCACTGGCAAGTTTCTTTTACTTAAAAATGCAAGAATATCAACTATTGAGAACATGAATACTTTTAGAATACTGTATGCACCTATACTTCTGTAGTTTAGGATTTGGCAATATTAAAACATGTAGACAACAGTGGGCAATATAACTTGTCTTAGTTCTACAGACATAAAATATGATTGGGTCTCTTTCTACATGAGGTTTAGGTTTAATAAATTATAAAAGTCAGTTGTAATACTTACAGTTAGTTTTTCTCCTTGTTCCTCAAATTTCTGCATATCCAGTTCCCACTGCTGAAACATACTCATAAATTGCTGAGAATATTCACTGTTAAGCTTCTGTCTGTAAAGAAAAAAAAATTCTGTCAAATTTCATCCATGTGAAAATACCATTAAAAACAAATTCAATTCACATATAAAGGAAAAAATATTTTGATAGGAAAATTAAAAGTAAAATTTATGTTGTTTTTAGTAAGTTTTTTTCCTAACAGATGTTAGCTCTTGAAAACTAAAGACATTTTGTTTTCCAGAAAAATTTACTTTTACTCTCCAAGAAATTTTTCATTTTTTTCCTACTGAATATAGTTCTCATAACTACATTAATAATTATTTCACTTAGGTTGTGCCCCCTCCCATTCTGGCATGGCAAAAATTTCATACAAAGGAATAGTCAAGTTGGTTAAAATGTGTAAATTATTTACAATATAAAAACTGATTTTTCTACATTCCCAGTTATTAAACAGTAGTTTCTATAATATCTACACCTTTCATTCAAGTTAATATATTTCCACAATGGATATAGTTTAATAACCTTTCAGTTATTAAATTAAATAAATTTAATATATTAAATAAAATCCTCACCGACTTTAAATTCTACGAAGGCATGAAGTTACAGGACTAGATTAGAAAAAAGCCAAGCATTTTAACTAAATAAGCAGATGATGCTATTTTCTGTAGGTAATTTGCACCAGGACATACTAAGAAATGATAAAGATGTAGCTCTTTAAAATCCTTACATTTCCTCTTGTTGTGTTTTCCAAATTTGCTCAATTTTCTGGTTACTGGCTTTGAAAGAAGCCTTGGTATACATTTCTATTCTTTTTCTCTTAGCAAGAAGAGCTTTGTTGATGTCAGCTATATTGAAAAGAAACATTGAAATTTAATGTTGAAGAAAATGATTTTATTCCATAGAATCAAGTAAGTATGGGTTGGTTCAACAATATCAAGGACATTTAAAATTAAATTTAGTTACCAGGGAGAAGGTTCATAAGAGAAAAAAAAAAACACCTGTGCTGGGCACATGCTTTTAATTCCCAAGCACTTGGAAGAAAGAGCTCTGCAGTCGGGTCTCTGAATTTTAGGCCAGCCTGGTCTACATAGTCAGTTCTAGGGCAGCCAGGAAACACAGAGACCCCGACTCAGAAAAATAAAACACTTGTCTATTATAAGCCTGACAACCTCTAAGTTTGATCCCAGGAATCCACAGTGGAAGGAGCAAACCAACCCCTGAGAGATGTCATCTCCCACCGTGGAAGAGAGTCAACTCCCCAAAGTTTCCTCTGACATGGTTGCCACAGCATATTTATACCACACATACACATCACACACAAACATACAAGCATAAAATTTAAAATTCAAACATTTTAAAAATAGCACGAACAGGTATTTTGAAAAACGTGTGCTTTAGAACACTTAAAATTTTGGATTTTCAGACTAGGGAAGCTCAGCCAATAAAGACTATGCAAATATTATGAATCTAAACTGTTGGATTCTCAACTATTTTTGGTCTTAAATATAGAATAATAAATATATCCAACTTTATCTCAATTCTGTTTTTTCTAACTGAAGGTAAATTTTAAATTTAAGGATGATAAAGATTGAGTAAAATGAAGAATCAAGGCCAGACTTATGAAGAAAACCTAATAAAGGCTAAATATTTCTAAATTTATAGTACATCCTCCATTTGATAGGCCATACTTTATGCATTTGTTAGAACTCATCAGAAATACTAAATTAGAACAAAGAATCTAAAAAGGATTATTAATAAAATTTGTAAAATAAGTCAATACCATTAAACATTTTTTATAAAAGAAATCAGTGTAATATCTAGATAATGCATCTAGGAATACCTTATAATACTTTAATGGGAGGTTTTTTGTGCATTTGTTTTTGTCTTGTTGAGATGGGGTTTCATGGCATAGTCTTGGCAGGCTAGGAACTTCCCATGTAGACCATGCTGGCACTGAATTCAAAGATCTGCCTGCCTCTGCTTTCCAAGAGCTGGGTGTATGCTACCAAGCCCAGTTCACAGTGGTTTTTATAGGGCATTTAGTATCAATAATAAGTACAGCAGTTCATAAAAAATTTAATACCTTAAATAATGTTTGCTATTAATTTATCTTCTGTCACTATGTTAGTGTAACTATAATTTATATTTCCAGTAATATATAGTAAGTTTATAAAACAAATTGGCAGGGTGGTGGTGGCATACACCTTTAATCCCAGCACTCAGGAGGCAGAGGCAGGCAGATCTTTGAATTCAATGCCAGAATGATCTACATTGGGAGTTCCATAACAGCTAGAGAAATCCTGTCTCACAAAACCAAAAAATAAAAAAAAGAAAGAAAACAATTTTCTTACTACCAAATAGAGCAGTTCTTAAAGACTTAACAGTATGAATAATCCTTATAGGAAACAAATATTTTTAAGAAGAATGTTCTGTGGCTACAGGTATGGCTCAGCTGTGAAGACCCATTATTGCTCTTCCCAAGGACTCGAGTTCCATTTTCAACACCCTTATCAGGCAGCTCAGAACCAACTGAAACCCCACTTCCAGGAATCTGTCACCTCTGTACTCCATGGTCACTCTAACATGTGCACGTATGTGTATGTGCTCACACAGTAAAATTTTGTTTAAAAACAAGCTAATAGATATATAGACAGACAAATAAATAGTATTCTGGGGCTGGTGAGATTGCTCAACAAGTAAAGGTGACTGCGGCCAAGCCTGACAATTTGAGTATGATCCCCAGGATCTATCCATAGGGTAGGAGGTTAGTGACTCCAGCAAGCTGTTGTCTGCCCTCCATACATGCATCATGATGTGCTGCCCACCTCTCCTCAGAATGTTAAACTGGACAAGGTGACTGATGTCTGTAATCCCAGCACCCACAAGGCTAAAGAGATACCAGTTTAAGGCCAGCCTGGACTAACTAGCAAATTCCAGCCAGCCAGCCAACTTGTCTCGAAAAGTAAATAAGCAAAATGCTGTCTCCTAATTAAGCTCACATAAAAACATATTTAAAACTTAAGGTCTTCATAATCTCTTAATGGTTGGAAAAGTTGTCATTTACTCTCAATTACTAATTTGTTAGTATAAAATAATAGTTCTTATGATGCTTTTATTTATATTCTCCATAAATGAAAGAACATAAGAGTCCTAGAAAATAAGTGAATGAAAGACCATTCTTTGTGAATATAAAGAAGCAGAAAAAACTTTTTCTAAAATTCTTAAAAGTACCACGTTAACTTTTCATATCATTAAAAAGAGGTTAAGAAAGAAAAATCTATGATGCTAATCATAAATATGCAAAACCCTATGAGAACAAGGCATTAAACAGTTAACTGATCAACATTTCCTATTATACAATAGTTTTAAACAATGTTCTTTAAATTATCTAACAAAAACATACCTCCAAATTTTTCCAGCATATTCTGTACTTCACCTCTGTGAAAAATTACATTAAAAAATTAACACTAGGAATGTAATTTAAGCAACAGAACATTTACCCAATGTGCAGAAGGCTCTAGGTTTGATTCCTAGCACCATCAAAAATAAAACAATTTTAGAGATTCACAATACCACATACCAAGTAGTTTATGCTACTACTTGTTAGATAAACTGAAGTAAATTTTTCTTAATTTATCGAACAAAGGAAACATCTTTGGGGCTTGGGAAATAGCTCAGTTAAATGTTTACTCTGCAAGCACGAATACCTAACATACTTCAACACCCAACAAAGTGCTTAGTATGCATGCAACGTACATGCACACCCTCATTTTTTTTTTAAAGTCTTACCCCACATCTTCAACTCTTCCTCCAGGTCTTTTCTTCCCATGTTTCTCAATTGCTAGAATCTTTTCTGTATTGACAAAATAAATTTTGAAATTAAGTATGCTGTTTGTTAAATTTTAATGAAGTCTATTTTCAGCTCTTTAGGATTTTGTAACAAATTTTAAAAGCAGATAAACAAAGGTGATATGTCCTCTGAAAAATGAAAGCACATCACAATTCATGACCCATTTTATAGAAGCAAACTTTTAAGTCTGGTCGGAGTCATGTATTATACTTATCAAGTTACTAGCACTGCAAAGATACTCTTTGATGTGCCACAACTCCGATACCGAGATGTAAACATCTGATGAGAAACAAAGTATGTGAAAATGCTTACTTTATTCAGTCTTAAGTGTAGTGGGTTCCAAACAGATGAATTCTAGAACATTGTTAATACCCAACATAATGGATATTTACCATCATCAACATCCTCCTCTGAACCAGTCAAATCTTTATCCTCTTTCTCAAAGTCAAAGACTTTTTTAGGTTGATCCACCGATGATGGCTTCCCAGATTTCCCAGAAAGCTTTCTTCCACTAGGCACCATCTTTAGAGTGTCCTTGTTTAAAAAAAAAGGAGCAAATCCCCCAAATCTCTCAAACTGAATTCAAAGACATCCTTTAATTTAATTAAACATTTTTATTATTTATTTGAGGGGAGAAACACATGTGGAAGATAGAGTTAAGGGAAGGAGTCCATTCTCTTCCACCAGTTGGGTCCTAACTCCCCAGGCCCCGCCTCCTTATTACCTTAGCTCTCCACTCCTAATTCCCTAGACCCCAAATCCTAATTCTGAGATCCTAACTCCTTATTCCCCAAACGAACCCCTCGGTCCTCAGCCCCCTAGGGCCCACGACCCGGCTCCCACCTTCCTCAGGCCCATGGCCCCCAATCCTGTTGGGCCCACGACTTGGCTCCCTCAGGTCTATGACCCCGGCTCCCTCGGGGCTACGACCCCCGCCCCTTCGGGCCCCGCGGCCCCCCTAGGCCCTGCCCCCTCGGGGATACGACCCCCACCCCACGACCCCGGCTCCCACGGGTCCGCCGACGCCAGCCCTCTCGGGTCACGCCTCCTCGGGCCACGGCCCCGGCTCCCACGGGGCTACGGCTCCCACCCCTTCGGGCCCACGACCCCGGCTCCCTCAGGCTCCGACCCCTCAGGCCCACGACCCCGGCCCCCTCGGACCACGGCCCTGTCCCCTGCCGAACCGGAGTGGTCCAGTCTCAGGCCTGCCCGACCCCACAGGCCATGCTCGGCTCTCAGGGAGGTTCGTCGCGTCCGTCTCGCCCAGCTTCGCCGTCTGCCTCCCTGGAGAAGGAAGGGCAGCACGGGGCCTCCTCCCTCTACCCGCAGCCCGGTACCAAGGTCCCAAGGCCAAGTCCCGCCACCGGGCCCACGGCCTTCGTCTTACGTCAACGGCCCTTCCGACAAGTCGACGCCTCCGCCGCCTCGACGCTTCTGAGGCAGCTTCGCCTTTGAGCGGGGGGAAAAAATCCAGCGTGGCCTCGAGCAAGCTTTCCGCTGATTGGCTGAACGCTATGGGCCCACGCGGTGACGTCTTAGCCCCGCCCCATGGGGGTGAGCTCACGTCCCTGTTCTCCAGGAGCATGCGTGTTCCCACTCTGGAGCCCCCCCCCCAGGCCAGAGACACGGTGGGCGGGGCAGTGCTCCGTGAAGCCACACTTCTCATGATCCTTCTGGGTATCCAAACCGCACCGTTTACATCATTTCAGCAGGTGGCTCCGCATTCAGAGGTGTTGGGAAGTTGTGACTTTGTGTAAATCTCCCGATTTCTGATGTTTTTGTTCGATTCTTCGTTATTTGTGATATAGGGTCCCACTCTGACTTCAAAGCTCAGTAATCTTCCTGCCTTAGCTTCCTAAATGCTGGGATGATGGGACTAATCAATGACAGATTTGCATTTTCTGAGTTTTGATGACACATAGACATGGTCTTTGACATGGCAACACGTAATAGTTTTGTTTATATTTTTAAAAGAAGTTTTATGATTTATTTAGCTTTATTTCATGTGCATTGGTGTGAAGTTGTCAGGTCCCCCCTGGAACTGGAGTTACAGACAGCTGTGAACTGCCATGTGGGTGCTGGGAATTGAGCCGGGTCCTCTGGAAGAGCAGTCATTAACTGCCGAGGCATCTCTCCGGCCCTAGTTTTCTTTATGTTTGAGCATTGCAATAACAAAAAAGTACAACTCTATAATAGTCTACGGCTCATGTTTTATTCATTGCTGCTATAAGAACCATGGTTATAAATAGCCAGGAGTATCGTGAAAACTCAGGATTTATGCAGAGCAAGCCCTAACTCTGAGTTTATAAGGTCTTTCATGCTAACTTTTCATCTCTTTAACATTTTCTGGGTTCTTTTTTGTTTTTTAAAATTTATCATTACTTTGAATGCTAAAAATCATTCCTCTACAAGCTCTATAAGATCATAATTTTTTTTCTAAATGTTGGCTATGTTTGTCTGCAGTTTTGTACCTCGTATCAAACATGTATCCTATTAGTTTTTCTTTAGTATGGAAACTGACGTCTCAATATAATTTATGAAGACGTGTGTGCTCTCCCATTACAGTGGTGCCATAGATCACCTCCCCATTAGCTTATGTGAAGAAAGACTGTGCTAGAACAACTGTCCATCTCTGTGGGGGTAGTGTGATGATTTGACACACGTATGCAGTGTGTAATGATCAAATCAAAGTGGAAGTTTCCCAGAATTCTCGCGTTTACTCTTCCTGCTTGTTCCTCTGGCAATTTTTTTTAAAACATCCCTGCTTCCAAACCACAATTTTCATCAACTCAACCTTAGGAAACTCTCAGTAGTTGATAGAGCAAGTCCCACACCTTTATTTTCCTTCGTAAATATACTGTGGGTTCCTGAACTTTCATTTCCCACACGACTTTAGCTAGGTTTCCTAGATCCATTAAAAACAAACAAAACAAACGTTGTTGTTGTCTTTTAAGTGTGTGGGGGTGTCACTGATCTATAGACCAAATTAGAGAGGATTGAGTCTTACTGGTCTTTTGCATTTGTGTGTGTGTGCGTGCATGGGTTGTAATGGATTAATAAAAATTGCTGCAGATCCCCGAGTAGCTTGTTGTGGGATCCCCAGTGGTGGCAGGCAGTGGGCAGGGGTTCCCAAGTCCTAGGCAGGAACTGCACATGAGACCATGCCACAAATCTCCCAAGGCGGCGAGCCATGAGGAGGCGGAGGGCAAGAGACAGACGGACAGGCACACCATGCAGAGTGAGGCTGGATATTTATTTAGTGGTTATAGAAGGGAAGGGAGAAGGGGTGAAGAACAGAGAGGCTGAGAGAGAGGTGGGTAGGGGAGGAGAGAAGGAGGGGGTAGGAGAAGGGAGGGAAGGAGAAGAGAGGAGAGGAGAGAGGAGAAGAGGAGAGATCAAAGCTGCAGGGGGGGGGGAGACTAAGGCTACAAGCAGGAAGGAAGACCTGCCTGCCTCAGAGAATGGGTGAGGGAGTGGGCGTGGTTTGTCTCTTAAAGAGACAGGTCATTACATGGGTATTCCAAAATGTGTATACATGCAATATGAAAACCAGATCAGTTTTGCACATCATTCCTCAGCTTCCTTGCCGTTCTGAGACAGGGCCTCTCATTGGTACCTGTCACTTACCAGGTGAGCTAGGTTGGGTCCCATAGGTCTTCCTGCCTCTGCTTCCTCCACCTCTCCAGCTTTGGGATCACTTGATGCCCACTTGGTGGCCAGCTGGAAATGCTAATGGAACTTACTGTAGAAGGTCTGCGTATATAGGATGAGAAAGCTGCTCTTAATCTTCCGCCAACCTTTAAAACCAGCTGTTCTCAACCTGTGGGTCACGACCCCACAGGGGTCACAAATCAGATATATACTACATACCAAACATTGACATTATGGTTCATAACAGTAGTAACATTACAGTTATGAAGTAGCAATGAAATAATTTTATGGTTAGAGGTTCCTACAATATGAGGAACTGTATTAAAGGCTCACAGCATGAGAACCACTGCAACAAAAACTTAGCCTAGGGCTGGAGAGCTGACTCAGAGGTTACGAGCATTGACTGCTCTTCCAGAGATCCTGAGTTCAATTCCCAGCAACTATATGGTGGTTAACGGCCATCTGTAATGAGATCTGGTGCCCTCTTCTGGCCGGCAGGGGTGGAGGCAGAACATTGGGTATAAAATACATAAATAAGTCTTTTTAAAAACTCGGACTAAATCTAAGCATCTAGCTGTAGGGATTGCCCACACAGGGTAAAGTGGAGGGGGAAAATCACATGTGTTGGTCCAGTCGTCTTAAGTTGGAGGGGTGTCTTCTGGAAGTGACTTTGAAATGGAGTTGTTTAGGCTGCCTCTGGCACCTCGGCAGTGACAGTGTCTTTGTTTTGTAGCTTAGAGGGCTGAGCAGAAAGGGAGCCAGATGGGTCACATAGAGAAGACATTGTTTTTAAATATCCCAACATTGTGTGTGTGTCTATTTCTCCTCTCTGTGTATATTGTGTGTGTATATATTTGATAGTGTGAAGTAAGTTTGACAATATCTTTCTAAATGTTCTGAAGTGCCTGGCATATTTTACAAACAGAAGTAAAGTAACACACCATGGAAATAAGTTTTTGCTGAAATGCATATGAAATATTGTTTGGAGAGAAATTACCTAACCCTTCCTGAACTGATCACATCGAGACAGCCTATGGTAAAAAGAATCGCTAGTGAATGACTATATTAGAATTCACAGAAAAGATCCCTTCTGAACATAGGAACAGTGGGAATCAAGACATGTCTACACACTGGCAGTAGGCAGAGAGGCCTCGGGGCGAGAGCACGGGTGTGCTGGGACTGAGGTTTGGCTGAGAGCCCCTGCTGCAGATGCTGGCTACTTTTCCTGTTAATTGGAACTTCGTTGGTACTGCTGTCTAAGGGGCCGGCTGCCATTTTTGTCTTCTGTCTTAGTTAGGGTTGAAATTGCTGTGATGAAACAGCACCACCAAAAGCAGGAGGCAGCGGGGGAGGGGGGAGTATTTGGCCTACACTTCCACATCCCTAGTCCTTCACTAAAGGAAGTCAGGACAGGAACTCAAACAGGGAGGGGACCTGGAAGCAGGAACTGATGCACAGGCTATGGATGCTGCTTATTATCTCGCTTCACATGGCTTGCTCAGCTCTCTTTCTTTCCCTCCCTCCCTCCCTTCCAGGGAGGCTTCGTATTAGCTCTTATAACTTATATTAGCTCATTATTCTTATCTATGTTAGCCATGTGGCTCAGTACCTTTTTCAGCAGGGCAGGTCACATCCTGCTTCTTTGGTGTCTGGACAGGACTTGGGGAAGAGCTTCCTTCTTCCCAGAATTCTCCTGTTCTCCTTTCCCCACGTCTACTTCCTGTCTGGTTGTCCCGCCTATACTTTCTGTCCGGCTACTGGCCAATCAGCATTTATTTAAAACATAATTGACATAATACAGAATTATCCCACACCACTTGGCTATTTTTTTTTTTTCTGTTAATGTGGCAGAAGCTAAGGAATCATCTGGGAAGAAGGAACCACAATTGAGAAAATGCCTCCAAAAAAATCAGCCTGTAGGCAAGCCTGTGAGGACATTTTCTTGATTGATGATTGATGTAGATGAGCTCAGCCCATGGCAAGTGGTTCCATCTCCTGGACATTCGGTCCTGAGTTGTTTAAGAAAGCAGTCTGAGCAAGCTGTGGGGAGCAAACCAGTAAGCAGCACCCCTCCATGGCTTTTGATTCAATCGCAACCTCCAGGTTCCTGCTTCTGAATTCCTGTCCAGATTTTCTTAACAATTAACTGTTTAACTGCAAGATGAAAGAAATGCTCCCCCCACCCCCACCCCAGATTTGCTTTTGGTCGTGGTATTTTATCATGGCCATAGAAACCCTAACTAAGACAGCAGGTAAACAACTGGTGATAGACCACAATGATGAGACATGAATCGGAGATTAATGGGTAAGAAGGAAAAGGCACGTGAAACAGTAAGAACAGGATCTCACAGGCACAGGCCAACTGAGAAATGAATGGCATATTTGTGAAAACACCACGCTGCTGGCACAATGTAAAGGTCAAAAGTTAAGTTGACAGGTGAGGGAAAGCAGAGGAAAGCACCAATTATTAATTTTAAGTTTGTACTAATTGCTATATTTTCACAAATATTTTTATTTTTTTCTGTGCTGGGGGCCTCCGCCAAGGCCATGTACATGTGGGGCAGGTACTCCAGCACCAAGCATATCAGCCATATTTACAGAGTCCTTATGGTGTTTTTTATCAACACTTTTTAAGTTGGTTGAATTTTAATCACCAGATTTAAATTTTACAATGTTTTCTTTTTCTTTCTTTCTTTCTTTTTTTGTTTTTGTTTTGTTTTATTTTGTTTTTTTCGAGACAGGGTTTCTCTGTAGCTTTGGAGCCTGTCCTGGAACTAGCTCTTATAGTCCAGGATGGCATCGAACTCACAAAGATCCACTTGCGTCTGCCTCCCAAGTGCAGGAATTAAAGGCATGCACCACCACCACCTGGCTTTGCAATGCTTTCAAGTATAGCAGCTTACCTTCAACTTGGGCAATCCAGGAAACTTGTTCTCTCTCTCTCTTTCTTTCTCTCTCTCTCTCTCTCTCTCACACACACACACACACACACACACAGCTTCACAGGGGGCAATTCTCTTGTCGATTTTGCAAGCCTCCTCTGAATGAAAGGCTCTATTTCTCAGGCCAGAAGTGCACGGTGCCTACAATCAACAAACCACTGTATTCATTCCCAACCAGTATTTTCTATACTAAACCAGAGATGAAGTTTCTGGACTCCCTGAAGAATGTGAGTTAAGAGGCATGCCTTCATTCTGGGGATAGAACGGACATGGAAAGAGAGGCGGGATGAGCAGAGCTGAGCAACAGTCCTGGCGGGGGTTTATTAGTCAGGGCCTCTGGAAGAAGGTCACAGGTGGAATGCGCGTATACTAAAGGCGGATTTCCACCATCTGCGCTGGGCAGTCCCACAATGGCTGTCCGCACACCCACTACCTGGTGGTTGCTCAGTGCATGAGGCTGGGTGCCTGGGCAGTTCCAATGTGGTGCTTCAGGTCCCCGGGGCATTCCTGGAGAGCCGATGACCTTCAGCCCGAGTTGGAAGGCTGAAGAAGCTGGGCTCAGGCGTCAACAAAGGACAGCAGCCGCAACAGCTGGGCAGGGGCAGCCACAGGGTAAGGAAGCTGCCAACACGGTAGACACCCTCACCCGCAGAGGCTCCTGCACACCGGCGACGGTGAGAGCTCCCTCAGACGCCCTCACATCTGGGCTGCCACAAAGGTGCTGCCCAGGGGTAGAATGGGTCTCCCCGCTACAGTTGACCTAACCTAGGTGACACCTTAGGGGTGTGCACCGTGGCTTGCCTCTTAGAAGATTATCGATCCTGTCAACTGGACACACATAGGCTGTGTCTCTGGTACTCCTCTGTTTTAAGAAGTTTAAGGTACCTACGTCATTTGCAACCCAAGCACGTCTCAGTGCCTACACATGAATTTCATGGGAGACTTGAGTAGAAAAACTGCCTGCCATTTAATAGAATTTTAAGATGGGGCCGGAACTAAAATAAGGGGGAAGTGGGAGCAGTTAGACTAAGAAGCCCCCTTTATCACTGGATCTGGGATGTTCTTTTTTTAAAAAAATTTATTATGTATACAATATTCTGTCTGTGTGTATGTCTGCAGGCCAGGAGAGGGCACCAGACGTCATTACAGATGGTTGTGAGCCACCATGTGGTTGCCGGGAATTGAACTCAGGACCTTTGGGAGAGCAGGCAATGCTCTTAACCACTGAGCCATCTCTCCAGCCCTGGGATGTTCTTTAACTCTTCCCTCTCCCTTTGGCTAAGAAGTTTGGGTAGACCTTGAACTTGCTACCTTCTAGCCTTACCTTCAGGATTCTGGAATGATAGGTGTGTACCACAACCATGCCAGTCTGGAAAAATACATTACCAGAGCCGGTGACGTTGTGCGGCACGTGAAAGTGCATGCTGTCATGACTGAAGTCCTGAGCTGGTTTCCGAGGATCCACGTCACAGGAACAAGTGATGAGTTGGTCTCTGACCTCTAAAGGTACACCGTGGCGTGCGTACGCCTCCTCCACCCACCCACAAAATAAATACGCAAGCCGGTTGCGGTGGCACACACCTTTAATCCAGGCACCCAGGAGGCAGGGAGATCTCTGTGACACTTAATCATCTGTGTAATGGTGCTAAGAAGGAGTGATTAACTCACAAGGGCAGAACCTAGGGTGGCCATGATTAGTGTTGCCTATAAAAGGCTCAATGAAAAGAATCTGTCCCCTTTGTTTTTCTGCTGTCTGCCCTATTAGCACAAGGCATCATTCACCCCTGGGGGGCACAGTATTCACGGAGTCAACCTGGAAGCAGAACAGTGCTCGGCAACAACCGAACCTGCCAGCATCTTGGCCTTGGACTTGTCAACCCTACAACTCCTAGAACATGCATTTCTGTTCTTCATACTCATTCATGCTTGAGCATTATTCCGTGTGGTGTTGGTTTATGTGATGCGGTCTCTGGTGCACGGGCTACCTGGAACGTACCCAGCTGGCCTTGAACTCGTGAAAATCTCCTGTCTCGCCCTCCTGAATGCAGGGATGACAAGCATATTATATTTTATTTTTGTACAACAAATGGGCTCAAATCACACTCTGACCTTTTATAGAATTCCATCTGAATGAATGGTTCTCAGGTTTAAATTTTCTGGTCACTCACTGTTCAAATTCTTTCCCAACAACCTGCTGGATCATTAGATAAATGATTGCACGAATGTTTGTATTTTATCATCCACTGTGCTACCAAACTTCTTATACTCATCTAACCGCAGAAGTCTATATTACGCCCAAATGTCCACTATCTATAACTGTTCCGAAATCAATTCTCAGCTTTTAAATAATACCCAGATAACACTTAATTTTTTGGGGGGATAAATTCCGTTTCGAGTCTGCTCCCCATCCCACAAGGCAGCATTCTCTAGTATGTCGTAATCCTAACCTTTCCGTGCACTACTTCACACTTTACTGTGTTCACTGCTGAGCCAGAGGGCTGAACACTCCCCACAGACGACCATTAAGACTGTTGAATCTGGGCAGTAGTATCACCAGTCTTCAAAGACTTAAAGCTATAAGCATAGGGCTGGAGAGATGGCTCAGCGGTTAAGAACACCAGCTGCTCTTCCAGGGGACTTGGGCTCAAACCGCAGCACCCACATGGCGGCTCACAACCATTTGTAAACCCAGTTCCAGGGGATATGACACCCTCCAGATGGTGCACAGGCGTGCATCCAGGCAAATATACATACACACCAAATAAACCCTCAAATCAATAAATGTGATCTTTTTTATGAGATTTCAATTTTTGAAATACACAAAATTTACAGCACAAACACAGTATTTACATTTCAAGTTCTCATTACAAAAGTGTGTGCAATTTGGGAAGAATACCACTGAAATCATGATTGAAGATAGCTGTCAGAATTCAAAGCGGATTCATGGAATCAGGTCTCCACAAAACCACTATACAATGATATAATGGAGCATGGCTAATGTCAGGGTTTGTGGTTTGTTCACTCATATGTAAAAATGAGGCTGATTCTCTGGTCTGCCAACAATGGCCTGTGGTTCAAGTCTGGCTGGAGCCTGTTTTTGTAGAGTTGCAAGCTAAAGCTGGTTTTATCGGGCTGTTTACAAAAACAAAAGAAGCCCCCCACACCAAACAAACAAAAAAATTAAGCCAAGAAGAATGTTTGACAAAGACAGATGTGTCTCAAGTTATCCGCTCTGTTTTCTTAACAAAAAAAGCTGGCGGACCACTGTTCCCACAGCAAGCGAAAAGTGAGCTGCTGACAGAGACGGGTTTTCAGCTGGACGCCACAGCCGCGTGCTGGTGCCGCCGTCGACACTACTCATTTCTAGAGTGAGGCACTTTTGTTTGAGTGTGTCCGTTTCCAAGACATGATGACATCTGGTGAATAGCATTGGTGCTTGACACTAGCCCTTTGCAATTAGGCCTGCAGACGAAATCCCAGCATCCTGGGAGCTAGGTTAAACAAAGTGCTGCCGACATCAACGCCCCCAGGTCTTCAGTAGTCATTAGTGATTCAAGACCACTTGAATGCTCATAAAAGTCAATAATTTAGATATGCTAAAAAGGAAAGGATAGCTCTACATTATTTAAATAAGATCTATACAAACATTTGGACATTCTGATTTCGTTATTTTCAGAAGCGAGGACAGCTTAGTCGTTACTTATTTTTAAAAATGAGAAATGAAGGAAAGAAAGAAGAAAGTAGAAAGTTAGGGCCAAAGAACTTCGGAATGCAAAGCCTGGGGTCCCTCAGCACTTGTCCCCAGGCTGGCCCCGCTTCTCAGGCTGCAGGGACTGTGAGAGGAAACCAGCAGCTTGTCAGCGAGGGTCCATCAACAAGCTGACAAATCCCTTAAATCAACAAGCTGACAAATCTCTTCGGCAAATCCCTTAAAAGTACAAGCTGTACGGCTGCCAACACAAGGTCTCAGTGCTGATTAATTCCAGGACAGTGGGCTCTCTTCATGCTGCAGTAGAACACAGTCTGCATGCTGTCCCTTCTTCCGAGCACGCCATCTGTGCGTCACATCATGGGGAGACCCTGTGTCTGTGTCACGTCTTGTAGATACCCCATGTCTGTGCGTCAAATCATGGGGACACCCCTGTGTCAGTGCATCACATCATGGGGACACCCCCGTGTCTATGCATCATATCACGGGATACCCCTGTGTTGGTGCATCACATCATGGGGACATGCTTGTGTCTGCATCACGTCATGCGGACACCCCGTGATGGTGAGGTGTGAGATGCGCAGGAGACGCTGAGGTAGGTGATTGCAAACAAAGAACTTCTACACCCTGATTCGATCTGGACTAGCTTCCTTGTGTATTCTCCTCCGGGGAAATAGCTTCCGTTTAAGGGCAATTATCTACATGATGGAGGGCAGAAAATCAGTGTTAGTTTTCCATATCGAAGAAAGACTGTTGGTGAAGCAGGTGTTCCTTCTGTGACCCACACGTTCCTGATCATTGCCACTGTTTGAAACAAGTTCCCTTCATGCCCCATCCCCAAACAAAAGCAATCAACAGTTTTGCTCAGTACTATAGTCAGTATGCTTAAGCATATTCCCACAGAGATGTGAGACCAAATGATATTGACTCATGGTTCATTTTTCAAAGACCTGCAGTGAGAGCCATTGCTAAGGGCATTTATTTTCAAGATCTTTGTCCAGTTTCATTTGATTTTTTTTTCAGGTGAAAGGAACTGCTGCTGTTTAATCATTGGAACATTAATTCTGAGTTTGAATAGATTATTTTTTATAAGACAGTTAAAAACTATATTAAAATCCTTTCAATGTTTTCTATGCTTATAAACAGTCATTTGAAAATAAGATGACGGTTATGAATGGGTTGCAGTGCAAAGAGTTCATTTCTAGGCGCTGGAGAGATGGCTCAGCGATTAAGAGCTGAAATGGTCCACCCAGAAACATTGCTTAAGATCTACGCAAAATGGAGACAACTTACTTGTTCAGCAAAAAACGAGAAGATAGTGAATATAATCAGTGTTGCTAGCACGCAGTGGGTCCAAAACTTCAGCTTGTCTCGATATGCCCTCCTGTTCGGAGACCAAGAGTTACTGAGTTTTACAAAAACATACTCAGCATATCGTAAGGCAAAAAGATAGTATGCATAGTCAACTCTAAAATGTTAATAAAATACACATTTCTACCACAAGTTCAGATCGGTTGTTTTATAATAAATGCTCTTCTTCAGTAGTAAATGTCTCCTCAGCTTCAAAAGAACAGTACTTGTAGACCTTAAAATAACATTTTTAAAATTCATTCATTCACATTCATTTATTTCAGAAAAAAACATTCCTGGACACAGAGGGATAAAGCAGGATTAAATCTCTTCTTGAGAGTGTGGAGAAGCTTGGAGAGCCACTGGCCTGCTATCAGTGGGCTCTCGTGTGTGTAGGAACACCTCCACAGCCACCTACTGCTGCCCTATACACAGCAGCTAAGACACAGAAGCAGCTTAGATGTCCCTCAACAGGTGAAGGGATAAAGAAAATATGGGCCACATACACAATGGGATTTATTGAGCCACAAAAAAATGAAATCGTGGCATTAACAGAAAAATGGATGCAACTGAAAATACTGGAGGTAGGAGAAGAAAAGCTAGACTCCTTTGCATACCTGCTAATCTGTACATATTCCTCTGTGTACCTAGGTTAATCTGTACATATTCTTGTGTGTACCTAGCTTATGAAGCTACAAAACTTCATGAGAGGGCAAGAAAAACTCCTACATGGGTAGGGGAATATATATATCACAAGGGAATAGGGGATATTAATGGGGTACTAATGGGGGAAAGACCCAACAAGAGGACAGGGAGATAGGAATGAAGAGTAAGGGAACAGAGCAAACATCAGAGTACACAGTGGTAAAATGCTGCAACAAAATACATTATTGTATACATGCTAACAAAAAAACACCCGATATAAAATAAAAAAAAACTAACTTAAAAAAATCTCTTGAAATGCCAGTAAACATCTTTTAAATGTTTAATAAAGCAAAAATTGTAATTATATTTTCCTAAATAAATTACACATCAGATAACACATTAAAGAAATGTCAGCAATCTGAAATCCAGATACGAATGTATATGTGGATGCATGGGCCCACACATGTGCATGCAAAACCAGACTTTACCATTCCTGCAGCTCATGCATATGAAGAAAACGGTTCCGATACTCTCTCGGCAGCTCGAACTGGGAAGGGATAGGAAACATGGATTCATAGAAGTCCCTGAGAACAGCCTTCACCGTCTGGGCATCTTTGTGATTGTGGTCAATGTTGTCGTTTAGACAAACAAACTTCCTGAAACAGAGAGCTAATGTCACTGGTTATCACATGCATGAGCCTGACCCAATCCAGCGAGAGATCTGCGCCGGCACCCAGCGTTGGTGCCTTTGCTGATGGAGCTCCTTGGAGGAGTTCCTCACCTGCAAAACAGGGGAATGAGGGTGGATAATTCTAAAAGATCCATGTAACTACGAGAATAAATAAATGACTTCCACTTAGTGCAGTGAGATGTCCGTGTTCAGGAAATCTACCTGACTGACTGCGATATTCTGTTAGCAGCTAAGGGAAAATTATAGTGACCACCTAAAACAGGTTCTCCAAGCTGTCCATTATGTCGTGCTCATGTGGATGGAGAAAGCTGGTGTCCTACGGTGCAGACCTCTGAGGTTTGAATTAATGTTATCTTCAACCAAGCTGAGAAGCTGGAGTTCAGAAGAATCAGGTTAGGATAAGGCAGCCCTTCTTGTTTGCTGTGGGAGTATCTTCCGCTGCTTCAGCCAACAGTCGCTGAAACACGAGCCCACGGTGCTGCGGGAGGGCCTTCCGCTCCGTCAGCCAATAGCTGCTGAAATACCAGCCCACTGGGGCGTGGTCTATTTCTCTTTTAAAAAGAGCCACAGATCTCGGCTCGGGCCTCTTGGTTCGGTGTATGTAAGTTTTACCCCCCCAAAATAAATAACCCCTTAAAACATAACTGGTGTGGGATTGATTCGCCGTTACTTGTTTAAGTTTTCTTTAAGGTAGAAATCACTACACCAAGGTCCCATTAAGGGTATAATAAATTGTGACGGTACTTTTGAAAACAAAAAAATTAAAAAAAAATTAACAAAACCTTCAGATCCAACTAACAATTATGAAAAAATAGAGAGGACATAGGGACATCTTAAGAACCTACACAAAGAACCAGAAAGGGAACGAACGAGTTTTTCATAAAAGGAAATTAGCTGAGCAGGGTGGCTGGTACCTGTATCTCAGAACTCAGGAGGCTGAGGCAGATCTCTGTGAGCTCCAGGCCAGTTTGGGCTACTGAGAACCTGTCTCAAAAATAAGGTAAAGCAAAACAGAAAATAGAAAGGCTAAGAAGCTCTGGGCTCAAACAGTCAGGGAGTTGCTCCAGCAGTTAGAGAGCCCACTCAGGAGACCCCTCCTGTGTGCTAGGGCACCAGGGACTCAGGCTAACCAGCACGACTCTCAGGGAGAACCTTTTAGAAATACTGAGTGTAGTCTGCTCTGGGCCCCCATCTCTTAGAAGTCTGGGTGAGGCCCCCCTGGGGAACCTCACACTTAACTCACGCTCTGTCATTTCCATAGAGGGTCTCTGTCTACTCCACACTGAGATAAGCCACTCCCTCTCTCTATCCCTACTTGCTCCTTTCTTAGTCATAGAATTAAAACAAACAAACAAAAAAAACAACCACATTTTTATAGTCAATCAGAAAAACAATGAAAAGTTAATACCTGGGGTTCTTCCTTATGTCATCCAGCTGGCCAACCACATGAGACACATTGGTGCGGATCATCTTGAAAGCAATTTCTTCTTCTCCCATGATTTCAAACCTAGTGGTCAGACATGTTGAGAGAGCTTAATAAATATGTGGAAATGAAAAACAAAATTTCATTAATAAAAGCTTTCTTAAAAACTTTATGAAGTCGGGTGGTGGTGGTGCACGCCTTTAACTACAGAGAGAAACCTTGTCTTGAAAAAACAACAAAACATAACAAAAAACAAAAACAGACAACAAAAACTTGAGTGGACTCAAGGGGCACAGAACCGACTGCATCTCGATCTCCCCCCCCCCCCCCCCGAGGAAATGTCACATGACCTTGGAATGAATGCACAATTAATAAGACACTGTAAGGGACTACCATGCTGGACCTCCGGAACTCTCCAGGAGCTGAGCAAACACGCACCGGCCACTCACCTATACTTGTTCTTGTCTTTATACGCTTTATGGATTTTGTCGGTCACGGGTTTGCAGTTGGTGACAAGACTTTTAGTGACTGGCGGCTACGAGAGAACACAAGAGGATCAGACGGTCCACCAAGGGCATGGCGAGAAAGAGCAAGTGAGGCACAGGCCTTGGGCGCTGAACCCAGGGCCACCAAGAGTTCACGGGGCTCGGGAGCCCAGCACCCTGTCGCCTCAGGGTCCTTGCCACACCCTAGCTGAGCTCGGGATGCAGGATATGTACATAAAGATGCCTGAAAAGCCAGTGATGGGGCTGGCAGTCTAGAGGGCCTACTTTCCTCTTGAGAAAGGGTGTGTCCACGTCCTTGATAACTAATAGCAATTTGGTTACCTTGACAAATCTGTGAATGAAAAACAAATGACCCGTCCTTGGCCTACTTAAGTATTTAGTTATTATTTCTGCTCTCTCAGGCAGCATGACTCTATGGAGTCCTGGCTGACCTGGATTTACTCAGGAGACCCAGGCTGATTGTAAACTTGTCTCCTACTTCTGCCTCTCAGGTGGTAGACTCCAGGCCGTCTGCCACCAGGCCTGGCTGACAATAGAATTAAAAACAAACAAGCAAAAACCCAAAGCAAAAGACAACAGGCAACTAACCTACAAATGCCTTGACTGCAGAGCCGGTGTAACTAAATCTAGGGAAGCATTTAGGAAAGAGTTATTATTGTTCAAAAACTCTCCTGAGAATGTCCTTTAGCCTGCATGACTTAACTTCTATGGTCTTAGAAATGATTTTATTCTCTCCAGAGACAGAAAATGACTACACACATAGCCTTCCACTGAACAGCCAGCTGTGGTACAGGAGATGTTATGGATGGCTGTAAACCACCATGTCGGTGCTGGGAACCGAACCCAGGTCCTCCACGAGAACAAAAGGTGCTCTTAACCACTGAGCCACCTCTCCCCTCCAGAAAAATTTAACAAAATTTTATTCTAATTACAAAAGCAAGAGCTATACAAAATATGGAAAATGTAAGATAACAACACCAAAAACCTATCTGTGATTTAAAATATCTTTTGAGGTATGTATGCTCTGGTATCCGAGAAGGAGGTGGATTACATTAGGAAATTTTTGATTATTTAAGTCAGAGTGTATGCTTCCCATTTTCCGCCTCATCCAATTGATTTTAAGCATTTTCCCATATACAACTTATAAAACCCAGTTAGATGGTGTATTGTGTGTGAGCTTTCATCAATTCTGAGGCACACATATTTTCGCAGCTCTGAAACGGGGACATTTAACAGTCTTCCGATTACTTTGGACAAGTGATATCGTCACAGGTGTGTGGAGCTCACCTGCCATCCCCCACAGAGCCAGGAAAAGCCAGCAGCACCCTGGGGAGGGGTTCTAGCGCAGGATGTAAGTGACCGGGTATTGTTCATGCTGCTACACAGCCTCTGGTTCTGGTGTGCCTCATGGCGATGGTGGTGACACACTTGGTAAGGATGAACTCGAAACTTACCAGGTTGGGATCGTAGTACGCTTCCTGGGTTGGTGGAATATTGCTCAGTTGAGTGATATTGGCAGGAAGCATTTTCGAGCAATTTATTAACATGTGTTCCAAACCTGTCAGATCCTAACCAAAGCAAAACATAAACCTGTTATACACATGACAGATAAAAACTGTGGTTTAAAAATGAAAAGCAGGCGCACACAAGTAACGTTCTATAGACTGGGCAGGCTGAATTCATGTACTTAGAAATACATATACGCACACACATGTACATACATGTATCTAACAACAATGGGGATAAAAAGGCCATGAAATTGAAAAAACTCAAAAAGGGAGGTACATGAGAGGACCTGGAGGGTGTAAAGGGAAGGGGAAATGATATAATTATAATCTCAAAAAATAAAAGGAAAACTCATGATAAAAACATCTATGATGGTCTCTAAGTGGCTATTCTAAAGGGCTCAAAAGCAGTAGGATTCTTAAGTATAAACATTTCAAAAGGGCAAAATAAGACAGCATAACAACAAATGCTCCATTCTCATCTGAACGAGAGCACAGGGCTGTGAGACACCCGTATTCACAAGGTGCTGCAGGCTCACGCAGAAGAAGGGAGTGCAACTCAACCATTTTAACACCTCTGTACATGAGTTTAGCATTTCTAAGGATCTCAGGAGGACCTGGCTGAGAGTCCCAGTCAGTCCCATACCATACCCTGAATGAACTTGGCACAAGGCTCACATGCAGGTATCTACCATTGCCTCTCCCCTCAGACGACAGACGATTACCCAATGCAAGGCCACAAAAAAATAATCCATAAAACACAAATTTCAAATATTTTAGTCCTGGAATTAATAAATGAATGAGGAGTTACTAGCCCGGGCACTAGATATTCAGAATTTTCTTTACTTGAAATGCAGTAGAAAAAGAGGCCTTGCCAGAATTGTATTTTTCACTCAACACATCACAAGCTTAGGGTCGAAACAACACGTTACCTGCAGGCTTAAAGGCAGATCGTGGATCCGGGTAGCCAGTGTTCTGATCTCCCTGTCCGACAAGACGCCAGACTGGTCTGTATCTACTTCATCAAAGACTTGGGAAAGATTCAGGGGCTGCACCGCACTCATGAGGTAATAGAAATACGAGAAGGCGAACTGCATGTCCTCCGAGTGGCGCACCTTGTGAAACGATGTCTTGTCAAATTCCTCGGGGAACCTGTCCAGACAGAACACGGAGAGTCTGGATACTTGGGGTACATACAGTATCGGAAGTCTGCCTTCATGTCATATTTATATGGCATCTTCGACTTAGCAGACAGGAAGGCCGTGGCTTACCATGGCAAACACACCAATGTTAAGCACACAGGCATGCATGAGCACACTAAGACTTACATATCTTGTAGCTCTTGCATGACGATCCTGTCGATCATGTGGGGCATGTGTGCGGGGACTTTCCTGGACGTGAATCCGAACTTGCTATTGAGAATTTTATTGACGTATCGGAGTGAGTCCGCAAACGTGTCTTTCAGCTGCCGCCCTGCACGTTTGCTGTTGGTCAAGTACGCCAGTTGTGTCTTCAACGACTCTTCCTCCTGTAAGGAGAATTCCACATAACTCAACACTGTGTTTAGCCCAGAGTAGACTCTACCGACAAGAGATAAAGGCATCATCGTGCAGAGTTATTATAGAATGTGGCACCTGGTCACTAACAGTCCTCAGGGTACATGAACTCCATGCTGTAAGGGTCCCTTCGAGGACCTTAAGGAAAACACTGGCTTCAGAATAATGGCGACGTATCAGACCTATTGGGTGTGCCTTAAAAACCAGCCACAGAACACGTGATTTCAAAGCCAATTCAGTACAGCCCTTAGAAAAACTGCTCACACACTAATTTTATAGTGCTTTAACTTTCACGCTGGTTTTGCTGGTGACAAATAGCATGTATGTGAGTTCTGAACGTGACTAAAAGAAACTGAGCTCCACTATATGACAGAGACAAAACCAGCTCAGCAGAACTGCACAGGCCAGGGAAACTGGCCAAGAATGAGAGCACACATTTTTGCCTCACAAACTGAAGCAAACGCGGCGGAATGGCTGTGATTAGCGCTGCATAGCGCACGGAGCAGCAAGCGCTCCTGTGTACCATGGCGGTGTGACGTGCTACCACATCTTAGGACAGAGAGTTTACAAGGACGAAACCCAACAATTCTACCGAGGGAAATAAAGACGTAAGCATAAATGAACTTGCTGAAGTGCTGGAGCTGTCAAATACTGGCAAGGTTCAGCTGCTAGAAGACCGAAGGCGCGGCCCAGGGCTGCTTGCTTTCTCCCAGGTACCGAGTCAGGGGCAGCCACGGGGAGCATGTGGCTGGTGTGCAGTCACTGTTGTAGGACAGAAACCACACCCGTGGCATGCTTATGCACCTAGAGAAGCCTGGAAGGGCAGTCACTTGTCAAATCTCAAGGAAGGAGGTTCAAGAAGGCCTTCCCTTTGTATGGCAGATCTTTGTGCTGCTTGGAAACCACACGAGTCTCCAGAAAGAGAGAAACACGGGCTCCCACTCAATCAGTAAACGCCAAGCACGCAAGGCAAAAAGATGCCCCCCAAAGCGCTGAGAGGGACAGACACAGGCCCCACTTCACACTCTTCTTCACTGTCCAGCCTTGATCATACAATTTTTCTTTATCTGTCAACTCCAACCAGGCTCAGCTCACAGGGCGTGGTGGCTCCTGAGGCCACCTCCCTTGGGACTCCTCGCGTGTGACTCAACAGAGATACCCCATGGCCACAACCGTCAGCTTTATCTAGACCTGTCTTCCTCAGTGGCCTCTTAGTCTTCCCGAGCACTGACTGTGTCTGTGCTCCCCAGAGTTCATCACTGCGGCAGCACCGGCAGGAACAATGGCACTACGGCATAGCGGAGGCACGGGTGACGCAAGGGACGAGAGCCCCGCTTCTGAGGTTTGGCCTCTGCAGCTGATGGTGCTGATGGTGGAAATGTCAATGACCTTATCTGAACCTCAAGTTTCTCACCAGTAAGGCTGGACTAGCACCGGAGCTACAGGCTAAGGAGTCAGGACGTCACCGCTGCTTCTCCACGCCCCCAGTCTCCACCCCAGCTAAAACCCCTACCTAGACTGCAAGAGGATGTGGCATTTTCAAGACTAGGGTTACTGGGAAGCACTTTCTTCAGCCGTGGTCGCAGGAAAATGCGTGGCAAATGATACTTACTATAACAATACCACTTACGAAGCTATTTATATTCGTGGGCATGACAGGGGATAAGGCTGGATCGAACTTACATCAAGAAGGTCTTGGAAATACTTTCTTTTCTCCCAAGGCAAAAAGCCTGGGTAAGTCTCCGTGTAGTGGCGTAGCTGCCTTCCCCGCACTACTTCTTCTACGGCTACGCGGCCATCAGCATCACCCTCTGCTCTGCCTCCTGCCTCTTCTTTCCCGGTGAAGTCTTCTCTGGGTACACTCATGCTTGGTGCATGTGGGGCCTGAGTTTCCAACCTAAATCTTGCGTTGCTCTCCAAGACCAGGGGTGGATTCAAACCACGGTCATGGCCATTCGCGTAGACCAGGGGTGGATTCAAACCACGGTCACGGTCATTCGCGTCCACTGTCCTCACTGGGGATGTCCGTCTCTCTGCTCTCTGACCGGCAGCAAAGCCACCTGGGCTTCTGTGAGAGGGATTTTCCTGTGGGGCCTCCAGATGGTCATTTGCTTCGTTGGTCCGTCTAGATGGAGGTTTTCCTTTAGCATCTAGTGAGCCTTTCAGGAAGGACCTCAGCAGGGCTGACTTGGAGAAGTTGTATCCTTTCTGGGTGATGTCTCCAAGTTCCAGCTGCAGGTCCAAGTTGCTCAGTCTCACCTGGGCCTCCTTCGGAAGGAGTGAAATGTTTACCAGGGGGATTTTCACCTCCTGCTGGAATCTCCCTGTGGTGTTAACATCGTGTCTCCTGACTTTGGGGAAGCGTTTCCCCTTGGGAACGTCTTCAAAAGGGATTTCGGCCTGGGGAAGAGGTGTCACTGGGCTAACCGAATTTTCATAGGCCTTCTGGGTTGTGGCGTTCAGTTTCGGCCCCTCCCTTGTGTCCACCTCCACTGTTATCTGGATTTTGAACTCTTCATCGTTGGACTTCTGGAGTGTGAGGTTAAAGTGGATCATGGTTGCGTTCATCCCACTGTGCAGTATGAGATGAATGGTTCTCCACTTGTTCGCGATGGATGCATGCCGGATTATCGGATTGTCGCTGTAGCTGCCTTCCACTCCTCTCCTGGCTATTTTGGCAAAGCTGAAATAAGGTAGGTGTTCACCTTTGGGGATGACATAGTGCGTCTGGTTTGGGAGAAGAGTTACTTTATACAGTTCATGAAAATGATCTAGAGGAAAAAACACACAAACATGGTTTCTTTTAAATTAGACACTTTTTGTTTTGTTTTTCGAGACAGGGTTTCTCTGTAGCTTTGGAGCCTGTCCTGGAACTAGCTCTTGTAGACCAGGCTGGCCTCGAACTCACAGAGATCCTCCTGCCTCTGCCTCCCGAGTGTTGGGATTAAAGGCATGTGTAACCACCACCCAGCTTAATCAGACATTCTTATGCGTTCCTTAATTCTCTGGGCTCAAGTTTTTATTTTCTAAGGGTGACTTGAAATTTATTTAAAAATGCTCACAAATTTTGTTTTTTTATTTTTCCTGCAGGATATTTTCTTGAACTCACAAATTCTAACACAAGGTCTGGGGATATGGCCGTCCTACCATCTGAGCTGACCATAGCAGTTTACACGGGACATTGACCCTGGTTCACTATAGAGATGGGGCATAATTTTTAATCAATAAATTTGAATGACTAATTTCCCACTTTTTGCCCATTTGAAAATTACTTTCAACAATGACAACCACTGAGTGCTCCTGTTTGTGGAGTTAGCTCCTTGTTCCTGACGTTTCCACGGCAATAAACATACCTTGTCCACAGTCACCAGCATCAAACCCACAGGACAAGACGTTGCAGGCTTGGTCACAGAACTTATCGGCGAGCCAGGAGTTTGCACACCCTTGGTTGCAGTAAGAGACACTGTTGATTCCTCCACCAAACTGCCAGGGCTGTCCGACGCCAAGATTCCCGGTACCCACACCTCCCGCAACATAGCGACTCCCTCCGCTGTTACCTGTAGAGGGAAGAGGAAGGAAGAGTCCTTACTGGGTTTACATCATTTCTTACTAATGTTGCAAGATTGATGCATCGGTTGCCGCTACAGAGGTTCATCTCATTCTTTAACATGGAGGCCGATGCATGGGTTGCAGCTACAGTTGTGTCTTAAGGGAAGGGAGTTCACCCGGCTGGGTACAGACGGTGGTGATTAAGACGGGTAGAGCTGAGCTGGAGAAGGGAAAGCGATTATCCCAAAGACCATGGCTCGGAATTCCCCAAACCAGGTGAGACACAGGCGATGACATCGCCAGTGTTACCGTTTTGCTAGGTCTACTTCATACGCCCGCGTTCTCTCCCTGCCGCTGCCTACAGTTTACAACAGGGCACCTGGCAGAGAAGACTAAACTCGGCTTTGATGCTTCACTTCCTCTAATACTCAACACGTTTCCAAGCCCGTTTCCACATCCAGAGCGCCAGGATGATGGCATCTGTTCAGGCTCGTTCTCAGAGCAACCCCCCCACCCAATCAAGAGGGTAATGAAGGTTCTAGAATCTTTATGAACGGAAAGATAATAATAAGCAAATATATTTTCAAAAGTGCCAACACCAAGTCCAAAGGTGAATGGGGGCAGGGGTGCTGCTAAGAAGATAGGAATGGTTTGTTCTGCTGCTGTGGTCATTTCACTGTCGTCTGCAGTTTCCCACCCAAAGTTCCTGCCATGGAGTCCTGCAGACCCAGTTGGGACGATCCTCGGGTCGACATAATCAGGAGTATTCTAGCTACTTCAAGTAATAACAGGAGATACTTTCAAGTGCAGGGCCTAGACCAGGGAAATGTATTCAATAACGGAAACCGCGAATCAACTAGGCCACACGGCAACACCGACCAGGCATCTCTGGATTCGGGAACGTTTCAGCGTGTGATGTAAGCAGTCAACGGCACACACACGTTCTCAGGAATGAGGATGAGGAGATGAACAAGTCACACTGAGCCCGTCCTTACCGGAGCAGTCGCCGCCATCCCAGTCACAGGCTGAATTATTACAGGCCTTGTCACAGTAGCCATCTTTGATCCAGGAGCCCGGGCAGCCCTCCGCACAGTTGGGCACAGGCCACGTCAAATAAACCTGCGACAAGATCAGAGACGATACAACAGTTTCTGATGCTTTTTACTCTTGGATTAAAATACCTTTAGAAAAAAAGGCTGAACTTCCAAAGTTTCCCAAAGACTGTCTGCTGATGACAGTGGGCACTGCCTTTGGCTGGACAGTGCCCACGACAGAGTTTAACCTGCTGAGCACAGTTCTTCCCCACCTGCTTCAGAGAACTCTGCAGCAGGTCACTCTTTAGCCAGGACACAGCAGGTCACTCTAGGCAGGACACTCACTAGGAACCCAGTGATTTCCCCGCAGAACCGCCTCAAGGCTGAGGGAGGGAGAAGGCAGTGCTAGCAGACATCTCCACCCTAAGGCTGTGTTTAGGCAAATTAATTTGAACAACATTCTGAGTTCCTGAAAGGCCTGGTTACTTTATAAATTAAATCTGCTAGCGATAAACATGCCCCTCCCTTTTTAAAGTCGCCCTTCCTTTGTGCAGCACTTACTCCCAATTGATTTTTTAAATCTAAACTGAAACTAGAGGCTGCCAATGGCTACAGTTTGGCTCTATGGCAGAGTACTCTTCTAGCGAGTCTGAGTTCCTGGGGGTGACCCCCAGCACAGAAAACAAACAAATCCAGTTCCATGGGACAGGCTCCCCAGCCCAGCTGTTTGAAGCCTTTCGTGTCCCACCCGTCCCCGCAACAGAGGGACCGCCTTACGTGGAACTTCACCCCCTCCCCACCCGAAGCACTTTAAGCTCATTTTGCTGTCATGCCAGCCGCACATTGTTGCAAAGTGGGATTGCTGCAGTAGAAAGTCTAAGGGTCAAGGAGGAAAAAGGGGGGGTTCTGTTTAGCTGAGGCCGCAGGAGAGCACCGCTCACAGCTCCACCGCAGTTTGCTTCCTGCTCAGCCTAGAATTTCCTGAGCCTGGGAGTCACAGACGCAAAGTTGTTCACATTTGCATAACGAAAAGTATACACAGACACCCACGGAAACGTAGTTCACATTTGCATATAGAAATGTGTACACAGACACCTGAGTTGGTTTCCTCAGTTGCCAGTGACTGTCCAGCTAGGTGCCCGCCCATCTTAGCGCTCACCTTTTGGCCTTTGGAGTGACTGTAGAAGTCGTCGGGCCAAACATCCTTCCCAAACATCACGTCGTCGTTCAGGTAAATGAACTTCTGGGACAGCCCTTCAATGCGGTGGATGTGACTTTCAATGGCAGGTGAACTGAAAGTGGGCAGGTGGCTCAGATTTCGGAAGATGTCCTGGAACAGAAAGCACGGAAGGTGAACAGGAGTGGGCTGGGCACTGAGAAAGAGGCTGCGCTCATTCGAGGAAGGTGGCAGCAAAGGCGAGATCACTGGACCACACGGAAGGCACAGACAGGAGACCACAGCCTGGTGGTGTTTGCAGAGTCACGCACCTGGTGAGTGACTATGGTCACCCGAGGGTTGTCGAGGTTCAGCCAGGATGGAATCTGCCCGTTGGTGACTATGAAGACGTTCCGAACCCACGGCGCGTGCCTCTCGATGGACCGCAGAGAGTACCGCAGCTCTTCGTTGTCTTCGAAGCGGCTGGCGGACACATCTTCATCCTGCTTGGACTGGGAGGCCGGGGACAAGCGCGGCGCGTGAGGTATCTACGCTAAACCCCATAAACCCCAGCTCCTCCTCCTCATCTTTACCCTCTGCCTGCTGCTCTGCTGTGGGGGGGGGGGGGCGCATCTTTATCTCAATTTGACACAAGTCGAAGTTATCTAAAAGGAGGGAACCTTAGCTAAAGCAATGCCACTGTGAGATTAGGTTGCAGGCAAGTCTGTTGGGCATTTTCTTATCAGTGATGCATGGGGAGGGCCCAGCCCACTGTGGGTGGTTCCATCCCTGGGCTGGTGGTCCTGAATTCTATAAAAAAGTAGGCTGAGCAAACCATGGGGAACAAGCCAGTGAGCAGCACCCCTCTGTGGTCTGTGCATCAGCTCCTGCCCCAGGTTTCTATCCTGTCAGAGTTCCTGCCCTGACTTCCTTTGATGAACATCGGTGAGACGGAAGAGTACGCCAAACAAGCCCTTTCCTCCCCGACTTGCTTTGGTCATGGTGTTCGTCACAGCAAAAGAAACCTAAACTAGAACAGGGGCTTTGGCTACCCTTTAAATTCAAGTGAGTGTGAGCAGGTGTGTGTGTTTTGTGTGTGTGTGTGTGTGTGTGTGTGTGTGAGAGAGAGAGAGAGAGAGAGAGAGAGAGAGAGAGACAGACAGAAAGACAGACAGACCTTCTCTTTATTATACTTTACATAAAGGACCTTAGATTCAATTGGTCTTCGGGCCTGGTGCTCACTACGTAGACCAGGCTAGCCTCAAATTGACAGAAATTTGCCTGGTTCTGCTCTGGAGTGCTAGGACTAAAGGCATGTGCCATCAAGCCTGAACAAAGCTTTATTTGATTTTTATTGACATTTATGAGTGAGGGACTGAGTGTATGGGTTTGTGGGTGCCCTTCGAGGCTAGAGAAGAGGTGAGATCCCTTGAAGCCAGAGTTATAGGAGGTTATAAGCTGTCCAGTGTGGGAGTGGAAGCCAAATTTTGATCCTCCAGAAGAACAGCAAGTGCCCTTACCAGTCACCTCTCCAGCCCTGTTAGTGTCAGTAAGTATCAAACCAATGGAAAAGTCTGATGAGACCCTCAGGAAGTCCTCCTCTTCTCCTACTAAACCAACATCTAGATCTTTAGCGCTCTGATTCCTCAGCCCACTGCTCTCCCAGTCGAACTATTCTGACAATGGCACAAATTCTGAATTCATGACCTGAGCTGCAGAGGTCCACACTCCTTCCCTGGCTTTAGGGGTCTATGCCCCTTCCCCAGCTGCAGGGGTCTATGATCCTTCCCCAGCTGCAGGGGTCTACAGTCCTTTCCAGGCTACAGGGGCCTACAGTCATTCCCTGGCTGCAGGGGTCTACGCCCCTTCCCTGGCTGCAGGGGTCTACGCCCCTTCCCCAGCAACAGGGGCCTACAGTCCTTTCTGGGCTGTAGAGGTCTAGAGGTCTACAGCCCTCACCTGGCTGATGGCACTCAGGTCCCACAACAGGTACGCAGGGCTGATGGTCAGCTCCTTCCCGTTGATAGTCATGTTCTTCTTAGTTTGCTGGTTCAGCTCCTGGAACCCTTTGGGGTTGTTCAGTTTCAGAAGAGCGACGCTGGCCTCCGAGTACAGCTGCAGCTGGTAGACAAGAAGAGATACACGTGGGCACCCTGGACCTCAGGGGATAAACACAGATTTACCGTTCATTTTTTTTTTTCTTTTGGAGACAGAGTTTCAGGGTCTGGAATGACCTTAAACTCATGGCAATCCTTCTGCCTCAGTTTTCCATGTGCTGAGATTACAGGTGCGGGCCATCATGGCCAGCTGTTTAACTTCCAATCTTGAAATGTAAAGACAGTATTGCAGGCCAAAAGTGCTCGCCAGATGACCGCGACAGAATCTCCGTTAACAGGAGTGGGAGAGCGGTGTCACCTGGGCACCTTGGGCATCTGACAGCTGTAGCCACTCAATCCCGCGGGAGACTCTAAGATCTCCTGACACGCCAGGCTCTTTTTACGAAATCCCCCCAACTCTCAGAGCTGGCTTAAATGACGTTTTTTATGATCTTCATTTAAAAAACTATATAGTGGACATGGTGGCACATACCTTTAATCCCAGCAATCTGGAGGCAGAGGCAGACGGATCTCTGTGAGCTCAAGGCCAGCCTGATCTACAGAGTGAGTTCCAGGGCAGCCAGAGCTATGTAGAGAGACCCACTTTCTTCTAGAATATATCTGAAATGATCACACTGGGGGAACCCTGCAGGGTAGCACTGCTGGACTACGTGGCTTTGTGCTGTGATTGGCATCGCAGCAGCTTCCTGACTCTCTCCTGGAGTCTCTTGGGCCTGGCTGTCCAGGTGCTTCCACAGGAACATACCTTTTGAGGGCAAAGCTTTGGAAAAACCAAATTTTACACAGCAGCTTCTCCACCCTCTCCACGCACACACCACTCCCATCTGGATTAGAGTTAGACTCTGTTTCAAGACTTCCTGGGAAAAGAGGCCTGTCAACCAGTAACTATGGAGAAGGGTAGACATCACCCCTCCGGAGGCAGCAAGTCCTCCTGCCACACTGGCTTTTCTGACGCGGCTCTTTTCCTTCTCAGTCCCTAAGACAGAAACAAGCACAGCCACCCACAGCGTCACCCTGGACTCTGTATTTGCTATCTGACTGTCCTAACTCCTCTTCTGAGCAATCCCTGCGTTCCTAGACCTGAAGAGAGGGGTGGAATTTCAGGCCTGTCTTTTCCTTTTCGCTGATGCATGCCATTAACTCCTGACCATCCCCATGGGTCCACTGTCTTCAGATTGTGTCCTTGACCTCGACTGTCCTGGACTCAGCTCTCACGGCTGCCAATCCCACCTCTGCGTGCAGCAGAATGGGAAGCAGTCACCTAGGCACGTCCCCACCCTTCCCAGTACGACTCTTTGCCCCTTTCCTTCCCATTCCCTGGTTCCTACAGGGCCCCCTAGGATGGGAAACCCCACTGCTCTAGAATAAACAGTAATTTAATATTACAATTTAATTCAATATAATTTTAAACTTACTGAGAAAAGGTCTGCATCATAATCTCTTCTATCAATACTGTTTTTACCTTGGAAATTATTTTGAAGCCTCATGGACCTTTTAAAAGTTTACAGATTTTTTTTTTAAGATGCTTTAGGATAAATTTAAAATCCAGTCAATGACCTAAAGCTAATACGCATCGCTGGCATGACCAGCATATCCAAATGCGATCCTTAATTTCTAACTCACAATGAGCATCATTTGTCATTAGTGATGGATTTATGCTGCACCAGTGACTGGGCATGTGATGTGCAGCAGACACTGCCTCGAGTAAGTACTGCGCAGGGTTAAAGTGCAAATGCAGCCTTGCACTGCTCTGGGCCTGAGTGCCATCCATCCTGGCTTCCATTGCTATGGCAGCATGGGGTACAGGCCTGGTTTCCGTTGCTATGGCAGCATGGGGTGCCAGGACGATAATGGCTGGGCAGACACCTGTACTCAAGCAGAGGCCTGGACGAGAGACGCAAGAGGCAGGCAGGTGGCAGGCTGGCTGGGGTCACCCAGGACCTGCTGGGCCAGCTGCCGGCCGAGCCCAGCTCAGTGAAGTCAGGAGGGAAGGGACATTCTCTCCTCAGCTCCTGTACCCCTGGAAGCAGCCCGGGGATCACCAGCCAGGGTCAGAACGAGAAAACCATCCAGACTGGCTGGGGAACAAAGCAGGAAGCAGGCTGTTGCCAGGTCCTGTGTGTCACGAGGTCTGTGCAGCTCCCACAGAGTCCCAGGGCAGAGAGCAGCCCGGCTGACCACCCCTGAAAGGCCGGGGCTTTCCATTCCGAGGCAAACAAAACACATTCCTTTTTTTTTTTTTTTTACTGTTTATGGTAAATATAAAGGTCTGTTGTTTTATTACTGGCAAGAGAATAAACTGGGCTAAGTATGTAAAATGTCTAGGTAGAGTGCTTGACCCTCATGTGTGAGGTTCTGGCCTTCAACCCAGCATTACCAATTTTTTTTTTTTTTAAAAAAAGATGTTTCAGAGATTAAGATTAACTTGAGAATTCTAATAAGAAAGTCAAAGATTCACATCATTATTTTAAAATGCCATCAATTTTATTTCATGATTTGTAAGGCCTTTAATTCGGTAAGAAGTGTGACAGGAAAAATTATTCTTAAATAAAAATTATTCTTAAATAATTTTAAATTTTTTATCTTATATATGTATTTTGTGGGAGGGAGAGGCATGCATGCCACCATTCAGGTGTGGAAGTCAGAGGACAATTTGCAGGAGCCTGTCTTCGTCTCCCTACAAGTGGGTGGACAGGACTGGATGCAGCCAGGAGATCTGGCAGCAAGCACCTTTACCCACTAAGCCATCTCGCCAGCCTACTAGCAGTTGCCCAGGACTGGCTTCTAACTATATCATTGAAATCAGAAATAGGTTTTCTCATGGTAGCCACACAATAGTTGAAAGAGCTAAAAAGGAAGGAACTTGACATACATGGATCTAAACTACATGGGAAGTAGAAAAAGACAAGATCTCCTGAGTAGATTGGGAGCATGAGGACCATGGGAGAGGGAGGGGAAAGGAAGGAAGGGGAGCAGAGAAAAATGTATAGCTCAATAAAATCAATTTAAAAAAAAAAAAAAGCAAGGAACCTTATAAAGGACAGATTTTTCTGCCTCTGTAAGGGGCAGCGGCAAGGAGCATGAAGTATCCTCTGCTGGCCACTAGGCGGCAACCTAACCCTGCGACTCTATGACGTGTACTAGAAGCTGCTTCTGCTGGAAAAGGAATTGAGATATGCCTTGATCCTGGATACACACACACACACACACAGACACACACAGACACACACACACACACACACACACACAGACACACACACAGACACAAACACACACACAGACACACACACACACAGACACACACACACACAGACACACACACACACACACAGACACACACACACAGACACAGACACACACACACACACACACACACACACACACACACACACACACTTTCACACTTTTTTGGTTTCTGGTAAGCCTGAGTATCTGGGTGTCTGCTGAAGCACTGAGTTCTTGGTCAGAACTCCTACTCTTTTGCCACCAGTTCTGCAAGCGGGAACATTAGGTCATTCTGTGTGCCCAACCCCAGGCCTCTGCTATGCTAGGCTGGCATTCAACCCACTGGCCTACATCCCCAGCCTCAAACACTTCTGAAATACCCTAAACGTGTTTCTACCAGAAAGTAGAAGTCTTAGCATAGAAAAAAAAAGACAAAACAAAAAACCCTGATTCTTAAGTATCAACTATGTCCAGAATGTAATTATTTACGACCACCTTAATAGTATGAAATTTGCATTTGCCTTTGATAAATGGAAAAATTACAAGTATACCAAAGAATTAACTGAAAATGAAATTCCTGGGCTAGAAAGATTTCTCAGTGGATGATGGATGGCACCTGCTACCAAGTATACATGATTGATTCCCAGGATCCACACAGTGGACAGAACTGACTCGTGAAGTTGTCCTGTGACCTCCACACATACATACAGTAACACACACACACAATATAAGTGTAAATACATAAATATACACATACATACATATACACACACAATATAAGTGTAAGTAACAAAAATTTTCCTTATAATTTATCATCAGCAAATGGGCACCTATTTCCTATACTATACACCTAGAGTCATATAAAAACTCTCAAGCCACAGGGGTTGTGGTGAGAAGGCTAAGTTAGAGGCCCTGGCACTGCCAAACACCCTACGAGCAGCTGTATTGGGGCAAGACTGCCACTACAGAGAGGCAAGCAAACCTGTTCTAGGAAGGAGAATGGCAAATCTAAAGAACGGCAGGGGCTTTTCTGTAAGACAAACATCCCCAACAACATTTTAAAGGACTCAAAAACTCAGAAGTTGTAAACTGGTTTTAAATCTGGGTTGATTTATGTGTTATTAAAAAGACTTCGGGATTAAAAACACGTCTGCTACAGCTAACCGGAAACAAACCAAAAGGTGTTGTTCGGGGCTGCTAGGTTTTAGAATGCCCTCATGGTTGTTCCAAAGCTAAGGTTAGTTCCATAATCGCTGCTTCACCTGCCAACTAACTTTAGAAATAAAGAGGGTCATGCACTGAAAGCCGAGTAAGATATTTTCATAGAAGCCACTAAAAGTGTGTTAATAATGATAATACATGGCCTTTATCTAAAATGCTTGAGACCAGAGGGGTTTTAGTGCTAAGAGCTGGGTTTTCTTTGTTGTTTGGCTTGGCCTGGAAATGGCTATGGAGACCAGGCTGGCCTAGAACTCACAGCCATCGCTTGCCTCTGCATCCAGAGTGCTGGGATAAAGGTGTGCTCCACTATGCCAGTGTCTATTTTGTTTCAGCCCCACACAGCTGCACACACCTTTAATCTTAGCACTCAAGAAACAGAGGCAGGTGGACTTTAAGTCTGAGGATTAGCCTGGTCTTGATAGTGAGTTGTAGGCTAGCTAGGGCTACATGGGGAGATCCTGTCTCAAAAAAAAAAAAAAAGTTCCAAATATTTACATATACATGTAATGAAACTATTTGGGGAATGAAACTCAAGTCTAAACATGAGATTCATGTTTCGTATATACCTTATGCACATAGCCTGAAGATGCCCATTTAAGTAGTTCTATACATAAAGCAAAGTGTCCTGTGAGGATGTAGAGCTAATCTTACACTGGTGGTGGCAGGTCGGTGTCAGAAACTTTCAGATTTTGGAGCATTTATTTTAGACTCTGGATTTTGAGACTAGAGACGCTTCATGGAGAACATAATTTCTGGTGACCTTAAGCGGGTCCGGAACAGAACTTTGAGGGGGAGGAATGCAGGTGACTCAGTAAACTGTCACACCTTGCCTGTGCCATCCTGCCTAGCTACGCCATGAGATCATCTAGCCTTCAGCGAACTCCCCAGTGTCTCCAAACCACACAGACCCTATTCCACATGAGCCACTGTATTAAGGGAGGGAGGGAGGGCTTCCTCTGGCTCACCATTTGAAGGAACGTTCATCCACAGAATGATGGCGGAAGCATGAGATTGCCTGTTCACGTCTCAGCAGACCAGGAGCAGGCTGGCCTGTACACTCAAGGTCTGCTCCTTGGTGACCCACTTCATCCAGCTGGGACCCATCTCCCCAAAGTTCTGCAGCCGCTCAAAACAGTGTCACCAGCAGGGACTTGGTGTTCCAACACAGGAATCTCCGGGGGACATTTCTATCCATATCCTAACCAGGCAACTCCGTGGCAGGTCTGTCAAACACCCCTGCACTCCCCATATGCTCTGTGACTCCTCGGGGGCAGAGCGTCCATTCTCCTCGCCTGCACTCCCACTCAGTGACTGCCATCACTATATTAGACCTACTGTGAGCATCTTGCTGTGAACTCTGGGACCATTTCCTGTCTGTTCCTCACATGTTACAGAACAGAACAAAACCAGAACCTAAATGGAAAAGAAAGCCCGACCACGAATGAAAAAGTCTAAAAACACAGCAAGGTTTAGCATGAACTGAAAACAAAAGCCAATGGGTAATTTATCAAGAGAAATTCTGTACGTGTCACGTCTAACAGTTATGGATAAATTCATAGGAAACTGATCAGATTACGACTCACCTCAAGGTTTCTCAAAACAAAACCCTGAGAAAGGCTTGTTTGTTGCAGAGTGGACCACTGGTAGGACAATTCAAATCCACTGTCTTACAAATACGGCGCTTTCCAGTCTCGCATCCTGTCTTTATACCAGCAAAAAGCTGGTTTCCTTTCAGCAGGACGCCAAAGGCAAAGGTGTTGCACACACCAACTCAGCGTTGGGCACACCTGCACATCAAGCATCGTGCAAGCGGGTCTTCTCAGCACTGACAAGCTTTTCTCTTCTGTCCCCAGGCCTGCCTATGGTGAGTGTCATTTCCAAGGAGGTACCCAAACACCCCCACACCCCGCAGAGTGGTGCTCGGCCCCCATGCAGAGGTACAGAAGAGCACAATGCCCTGAGATGCTTGCGGCCTGTGGCATCTGCTGGACACAGTGGCGCCCTCCCTGTGACCCTGGACCTCCGGCCTCACAACGAGCTTCTGGAGGAGCACTGGAGCATTGCCACAGCTGAGCAGCTCAGGTCCTGAAATTCAGGGTCTTGCGGTCTTCCCTCTCACATGCCATGTGTGCCTCTAAGGCAATGCTCCCACGGCAGTCGGTGTGGTTGACGCCATCACTTCCAAGGCACCGTACACATCCACCTCCTCTTTAGTCTCCCTTCTCCCCGGCAGCTGGCCAACACAGGACGCTGAGTGCCTCTCGGATGTTTCTGGAACTCCTCCCCCACTGGCATCCCCACGGCCAGAGGCCCTTAAACAGGAGTGTCTTCCGGGACTGAACTGGTTTTCTAGCCTCTGGCTTCTTCCCGGGTGGCATCTACCACACCTGCCCCTACTCTGTGACTTAGAAATACACCAGACTGTCTTCTTCCTGCCTCCGGGATGAGGTCCAGCCATCTTGCCTCCCCTATCTCTGGCAATTAAGCTTTTGAAGCTCCCCAGACACACTATCTGCTCCCCAGACTTCCAAGCCTCCAGCCCTTTGTTCAGGCTGTCTTCTCTGCACGCCCCTCCCAGCCCAGGAGCAGCAGCTCTGCCTGGGCCCTAGGCTGCGAAGCTTGTCTAACCCTCAATGCGCCTAAGGCCCGGGCATTCTTGGGCACTTTATACTACTCTTTGGAAATGGGCATGTCCCAAGCAAATGCTTTGATTCCCTTGGTTCTCCCTGACATAACCCCTCGACACACAGGGGGTATCTGATAAAAATAATCCAGGGGACTGGAGCCTGTGATAGGAAACTAGGTTCTCAGAAGATCCATCATAGATGTAGAGAGCAGAGCCTACAGGAAGGCAGCGTGGAGCCATGAGGTCAGATCCCCAGAACCCGCGTTCAAGCTGGGCACGCCTATAATCCCAACACTAGGTATGCGGATGGGAGACAGGCAGATTCCCTAAAGCTCACTGGTCGGGCAGCCTGGTCAACTGGTGAGGCTAAAGACTCAGGGAGAGACTCTCGCTCAAAAAAATCAGGCGGAGAGTAACCAAGAAAGATGCCTGACACACCCACACGTGCGTGTGCGCGAACACACACACCCATGCACACATCTTTGCACATACATACACACTCGCTCACACACACAAGCATACACATATACAAACACACACCCTCGCACACACATACCTGTGAACACAGTCATGCACACACATCCACACCTGTACACATACACTCACACACCCGTACACACATTCTCTCCTCTCTCTGGAACAAGTATCACCCCCCTCAGTACACACAGCTTTGAAGAACTAAACTCAAATGCCGCCACATCTGACCTCCCTGGTTCTCAGTTTCCCTGGCGACTCAAGTGAGCACCGCACTTTCCACCCGCGCTCACACACCACACACAGGCCATCCGGGATTCCGCGGAGGCCCGCCACTGTTCGGAACTGTCATCTTCATGAGCACACACCCACCACCAGGAGGCACATGGAAAGTTGTCAGCACCGAGGGGCGGCTGGCCGCACAGAGCAGGGTGAGACACAGTCACACAAAAGCATAAGGAAGCAGAGTGCACTCCTAATTTCTTTTCAGGTTTGGATTCATGCGGATGACAGAAGCCGCTCTTCCCATGTGAGGGAGAGGAGCTGATGGGGAACAGTGGGAAGGACGGATGTGCCTGTATCTGTCCTTCTGGAACCAGAAACTAAGAAGCCAAACAAACTTCGGCTGAAACAAAAGCTAACCTATGGTTTTAACTGCTCAAATCAGTAGTGAAAGTCCCGCAGGGGAAGGAGATGTATCTATTTTAGAAATAACTGCAGGTTAACCACAAATTCAGCCCAATATAGCTGAGTGCTGTTCCGTTCCATACAAGTGCTGCGTATTAGCCAATCACGCTGCTGGAATCCCCACCGTATTTCAAAGTAAATGAAGAAGAGCTACAAGGGGCCGGCCTGGTGCAGAGGTGCTGCAGGGACGGTAAGTTTATAAACTCAAAACCAGCCCAGTCTGCACAGCAGGCTGCAGGCCCAGAATTATGTAGCGAGACCTGCCGCAAACAGAAACGAAGAGGAAGGAATAGGAGAAGCAGAAAGACAAAGCTGGCTATGGGGAAGATTTAACAGAGACAAGGCCGGAGCCATCCTTATCAATGTTCTTATAACACAAAGCATCTAAACTGTAAGACCCAGTGAGGAGGAAAAAGGGAACTTGGGATGGCGTGACTAATGCAAGAATGGAGAAAACTCCCTTCCTCCCTGCCCCGTGACCCCCACCTTCTCCATCCCCCACAAACTGTTAACTGGCAAAAGGAGAGGAAGTGGGAAGGCAAGCTCAACTATGGCAGAACCTCACAAGTTCAAGAAGCACACCCCTGAGGCAAGGACTCTACTCCCTGCCTAAGAGAGAGAGAAGCCCATGCTTCCCACCGGGAATACGTGGCAATAGCATGCCGAAAGTAAGGTCAACTTGAAAACACATGGACTGTGTCCTGAATCTACGCATGTTCAGGAAAAGGCCAGTCGAGGCTGAAGGCTAAGAATTATACACACGTCCTAAATTCATCAATGTCTGGATTTGCTTTCATGAATCAGAGTTTCACATTATCCCACACTATCAATGCCTGAAGTATAACTGTATAACCCCTTTATGAATGAGAGCTTTCATAAATGTGCTCATTAGAACTCTTACTACTTTTATGACTTTCCCCAAACACACACACCACATATTGTAAAAAAAAAAAAAAAATTATTATGAGCTGGGTGGTGGTGGCGACCCCTTTAATCCCAGCACTCGGGAGGCAGGAGCAGGCGATCTCTGTGAGTTTGAGCCAGCCTGGTCTACAAAGTGAGTTTCAGGACAGGCTCCAAAGCTACAGAGAAACCCTGTCTCGGAAAAGAAAAAAGAAGAAGAAAAAAAGATAAATTATTAAAATAGTCATTTCAGAGCTGGGTTTGGAGGCGCAAATCTGTCACACCAGCACTTGAGAGGCTGAAGCAGGAGAATTGCTACAATTTCAAAACCAATCTGCCTGTGGAGTGAGACCTAGTCTCAAGCAAGAGAGAATGGAACGAGGCTCTTCTGTGCAGATCTGCCTTTCTGACAGCAGACTGTGACAGGACAGACTTCATCTTTGCCTTGGCTAAACCGTGAACCCACGAACAATGGGTCACGAGGGAAGGGTGGAGCCGAGCGTGGACTGAGACGAGCCACGCTGGTGACCTTTCCTCTTCTTACCAGTTTTATTTTAGAGGAAAGGTTTTCCGGCAGTTTTGTCTTCAGCTGACTTGTCTCCTTGAATGTTGGCGGGAATCCACTCAGGAAGGCCAAGTCTTGCATCAGCACCAAGCCTGGGACTTCTTTGTCTGTCGTCTGAAATAAAAGGGAAAGATTCAGCTCGCCTTTCATCTCAGAGATGGTGGAAACATGGCGGAGAAGCCAGTGCGCTTCCGCTGTGTTTGCTGAGCTTCAAGTTAAGAAGACATTGTAGCTAGATGCTCAGTGGCGCCAGGCTCTTAGGGAGCAAAGCATGGTGGCTCAGGACTGCAATCCCAGCATTCTCAGAGGCAGGCAGGAAAATTCAAAGTCCAAGGCCAGATGGGACTAGGTAGCAAGACCTAAGGAAAGCAGCTTTATTGCTCATACTTTTATTCTGGTCGGATGCAGAAGTACAATCAGATTTAAAATGACATACCAAGTAGGCTCTCCAAACCGTCTGCTTGCTGCTTCCCTTAAATAGTCCGGCATAGGCATCTTCAACTACAAGAAACAATGCAAGAAACAAACACACGTTTAACAAGCGCTTATCTAACTCTCCGACAGAACACTACAACAGAGCATCTGGGGAGCTGTTAAAGTAGCATAACATGCGTTTTCAAAAAAAAAAAAATAGAGATGATAAAATTAGCACATTCAACCAAGGAGGCATACTATAAAGCGGTGTATAACTGAACATGAAATTCTGCACTGTCAAGAAATTTATGCGGGCGGCAGAAACGTGAGGTGCTTTGTGGAAAAACCTAACCTGAAGCCAGACTGAGGAAGAAATGATCGGATGGTAGAAAACTCACAGATGCAACAGCAAACCTGGACGAGGTTTTTGTTTGACTATGCTAAACCTCTGGGAATGTCATGACCAGCAAATGAGAGTAGTCAGACACGGGAAGGGAGCGTGAACAATAGCAGAGGCGCTTACAGAAAAGCAAGCAGCTGCCTTTGAGCCACTATGCCCTCAAGAGTGACTTTCTTAGAGTTGGTGGGCACACAGCCGCAAGAGAAGTAAGAAGAGGGGACAAGCGGCTCAAGGAAGGTGCTGCTGACATCCAGGATGGAGGAAACCAGGAAGCTCGGGGTGTGGTCTCTGACTTGGATCTTCTGGAGAGACCTACAAATTACAATCTGGGGAAGTCTCAAGCCGGCACCAACGGAGCTGGGGCTGGGGCTGGGGCTAGTGGGACAGCACCTGCTTAGGGCGCACAGGGCCCTAGGAACACTTCTGAAAGAAGGCAGGAGCGGTCGGTAGCTCGCTCTTCAGATCTCAATGCTCACGAGGTTGAGGCAAGAGGACTGTCAAGAGTTCAATCCTAGCCTGCACACAGTGAACAGCAGACCAGCCAGGGCCATCCACAGTAGCCTATCTACAAAAGGCTGACACCACCAGCAACAACCCCACTCCTAAGAACAGGGGCATGGACATTAGGAATGACTGTGACTTCCAAACATATTTATCAGGTAACTGTCCCCACGGACAGAGGGGAATGGTGCTGGCAAATTGGAAAATTCTAACAGGTCTGATAGGTGTAATATAACACGCATGTAATCTCATCCAATCTTCACAATATTCTCACGCCACCTTCATGTTTATGAGACAAAGAGGTTAGATACACAGCAGGGGAGAGTATGACTTAACCCATCCTGACCGAAGGGCGCGAGTCACACAGCCGTAGCCAACGTGGAAGAACGCACAAGAGGCCCTGCCACAGCACTTGTCTCTAACTTGAACCCCACACCAAAGTTCTGAAAGAAACCGGAGCTGGGCGGTGGTGGCACATGTCCAGCACTCAGAAGGCAGAGGCAGCGGGATCTCTGTGAGTTCAAGGCCAGCCTGGTCTACAAATTGAGCTCCAGGCTGGGTTCAAAACCAACAAAGAAAAACCTTGTCTAAAAAAAAAAAAAAAACAAAACAAAAAAACAACAGCAACAACAACAACAACAAAAGAACCAGGAAGCATGTTTGTGAACTGTGTGGACAAAGCTGACCACGATGTTGTGTCCCAGCTAGCAGACTAAGGACTCCCCAAGGTTCTAGTCACATAGAGCAGAGCATCAAATGCGTAAAATACAGTCTTCTACAAGCAAAGGTAAGATCCATAACCAGGCGCCACAAGCCAGTTCTACAAACAACCATCACGGGAGGCATTCCCCAAGGACCGAGGTGGGCCCACCTTCAAAACGGGCAGAATCCGAACGTTTCTCACCGTCCACGCACTTCTGCACTGAGCCACACTCACGCCTGTCTGGATTCCAACCATGTTTGTCCCTCCTCGGGTGCTCTCGCTGCACACAGCTAGCTGATTCCCACGGACCACAAGTCAGACCGGCGCTCCAGTGATTCCCCCATCACACTATGGGTCAAAGACTCTTAAGTTCCACGTGGCTACCGTGACCCGCTCCCGCCCCGTTCTCTGGTCTCATCTTTTACCTGCTTTCTCTTGTCCACTCTCTTTCACTCTCTCTGGCCTCCTCCTGTTCCTCAAACACAGCAGCTACATTCCTACTGCGGGGCTCTGCCCTGGCTACTCCAGCTCCCTGACAGGACTTTCTCCGGTCATTCGTGTTGCTGGCACCCTAATCTTCTATTATTTCATTTAAGAAGAAAATCACCCCTTCTCAAAGCCTGTCCCCACCACTCAATTTAGAAAGCTCACCCCCTACTCGAAGCCTGCCCCACCACTCAGATGTTCACCCCTTTCCTGACTGCCATTTCCTTTTCCACGCCCCCACCTGGTTTTTTCTCTACTGCGTTCTTGTCTACAAAGTATGTAATTTACTTATTTGTTAATTATTTGCCAATTCAGGTCAGAGAATACGGCCACCTGTTCATGTGCTCTGTCTCTGTCACTAAGGACAGTACCTGGCGTACTGTTAAGTGGGGAGGCCTGCTTTACCTGCAGAGTGAGCCATAGGAAGTACAAAGGTCATTGTAAGTTTTTTATGCTGAGGATCATATACAGGGTGCATGCTAGACAAGGGTTCTACCCCCCAGGCAACACCCACAGTCCAATAAACACACTTTAAGAAGTAAGGGATCAAGAATGAAAGGAATACCCCATGGGGAAGGGATTACACCCCCCATCCACTGGACACACATTACACCTGAGTATAAAAAGAGAGAGCTATTTGTGGTTTTGTCCTAAAGGCCAGTTTAGTTCGGAGGTAATGTGAATTGACCTATAAAGGTGTCATTTCTCATAAACCGACGGGTGTTAGTGTGACTGGAAAAGCCACTTTGGAGTCCTGGGACCAGGCTGCAGGGTTGGGCTAGGTGACAGCTAGCCGCTCCTCTCATCTGAAGGGGAAGAAGCTTGCATTCAGAAAGCTCACAATTTCCTTCGACCTAAAAATAATGTCAGAATCGGGAGCAGCATTATGGCATTTTTTGTGACTTAAGCCGGTGTGTGGCAAAGTTCTGTCTCAGTCAATAAATCACATGGGAAACCATACATCCCTGTGTCATTTAGTATAAATTGTGAGTTATGGCACAAACACCTCGGAGCTAGCAAAGCAAAGATAAAAAGCATTATGATGCCCTCATTCTCCCACAGAGGAGATGGATGGGGAAGAACAGGAGATGGTTAGAGGCGGCTGTGGCGTTAGCCGTGGCCCGCACTGCAGTGACCACTGGCAGCTGACGTGCAATGAGAAACTACACGGAAGAGAATGAAGGGCACAGACAAGCAGCATCTGCGACCCCAGGAGCTCACATCTGGATGAAAAGCAAATACATATTACTGAAGTATGGTCTTCTAAGAGACAGTGAACCAATGAGATCTGGATTTTCAGATTTACTCGCCAGCTAGGTGGAAAGCTTCACAGACAGACAGAACAGCTGGGTGTCTGTGAGGGAAATGGAATGAACAGGGGAAGAACCTAAGACCTTTCCTTTTATTGGCAAAATAAAAGCAAATAATAGGATGAGGTTAGTTATAGTTTATAAAGTAAGAAGCAGGGAAGGGGCAAAGATGCTGCCAAAAAGCGAGGCTGAGACACGGGATGTGGACAAAATACTCCCCCTCCCCATATTGTGGCAGGAGCCCGACAGCTTTCACAGTACCCACGTAAAATTCACAGCATCTCCAGGTAGAGAGGCCCAGAGCACAGGATGACTGAGAGACCAGAGCTAGACACATGTGTGGCCTTAGCAGTCATGTCTCAGCACAGGGACAGATTCTAAGAGTTACTGAGCAACCCAATGTCTTACAAACAGCAGATAGGGCAGCCTTGCAGTTCTGGAGAGTGGAAGGGCAAGAACAGGGGCCGGAAGAGCAAGAGTGGAGACCGGAAGGGCAAGGGCAGGGGCCGGAAGGGCAAGAGTGGGGACCA